GTCTTCCTCTATATCTTTTTTCAGCGTCCTGTAGTTTTCTGAGTAGAGGTCTTTTACCTCTTTAGTTAAGTTTAATCCTAGGTGGCTTAATTTTTTTGGTGCGATGGTAAACAGGATTGTTTTTATAATCTCTCTTTCTGAAAGTTCACTATTGGTGTATAGAAATGCCTCGGATTTCTTGGGGTTAATTTTGTATCCTGCTACATTGCCAAATTCATGTATTAAGTCCAGTAGCTTTTTGATGGAGTCTCTAGGGTTTTGTATGTATAATATCATGTCCTCTGCAAATAAGGACAGTTTTACTTCCTCTTTTCCAATTTGGATGCCTTTTATTTCTTCTTCTTGCCGAATTGCAATGGCTAACACTTCCAGTACTATGTTGAACAGGAGTGGTGAGAGGGGGCATCCCTGTCTTGTTCCTGTTCTTAGGGGAAATGGTGTTAGTTTTTGTCCATTGAGTATGATGTTGGCTGTGGGCCTGTCATATATGGCTTTTATTATGTTGAGGTATGATCCTTCTACTCCCACCTTGCTGAGAGCTTTTATCAAAAATGGGTGTTGAATTTTGTCAAATGCTTTTTCTGCATCAATTGATATGACCATGTGGTTTTTTTCTTTCAATTTGTTTATGTGATGTATCACGTTTATTGACTTGCGGATATTGTACCATCCTTGCATCCCTGGGATAAATCCTACTTGGTCATGGTGTATGATCTTTCTGATGTACTGCTGGATCCGATTTGCTAAGATTTTGTTGAGGATTTTGGCATCTATGTTCATGAGGGATATTGGCCTGTAATTCTCTTTCATTGTGTTGTCTTTACCTGGTTTTGGTATTAGGGTGATGCTGGCTTCATAGAATGAGCTTGGAAGTGTTTCTTCCTCTTGAATTTTTTGTAGTAGTCTGAGGAGGATAGGTTTTAGTTCTTCCTTGAATGTTTGGTAAAACTCCCCTGTGAAGCCGTCTGGTCCTGGGCTTTTGTTTGCTGGAAGCTTTTTGATGACTGCTTCAATTTCTTCCATAGTTATTGGCCTGTTAAGATTTTTAGATTCTTCCTGATTGAGTTTTGGAATGTTGTATTTTTCTAGGAATTTGTCCATTTCCTCCAGGTTGTCTAGTTTGTTGGAGTAGAGCTGTCCATAGTATTTTTTAACAATCATTTGTATTTCTGTGGGGTCTGTTGTTATTTCGCCTCTATCGTTTCTGATTTTGTTTATTTGGGAAATTATTGATATTTACATTTATTTTTTGTTCACACACTTTAAAATCTGATGTGCACTTTGCAGTTATAGCAGATCTCAGTTCAGATGAGCCACACATCAGTGCTCAGTAGACACAGGTGGCTAGTAGCTATCTTAATGGACAGCACAATTCTAGAAATTCCATGAATAGAGAAATTCCAAGAAAAGGAGTAAAATGTGAGAGGTCTCTTAGTTTAATGTAAAAAGCCCCTTAGTTTATTAATGGACACAGTAACTGTTGCTGCACATCTCTTTTTTCCTTTTTTATTTCTGTCATATTTTTCCAGTAGAGGTGGGTGAGATATATGCTTGGCAGAGCAGATAAAGGAAACAAAATACCCTTGACTGAGGTGACTTGGTTGTACTGGCCCTTGCAGCTCAAACGCAGACCATCTGCAGCACGACTTCTGTGCCAGAGGCTGCATGGAGAGAGGTGTAGCAGCAGCTATTACACACAGCCACCTGCCACACTTCCAAACCACAAAATCAACAAAGAGCATTCCTCCCCTGACACTTCTATCTTTGCCCGAGGCATCATATCCTTCCCAATCACTCTCCCTCCTCAGCCAAGTACAAAGCTCTTTTCAAATGACAGAGGCTCCAAAAGTACCTGTGTCATCTCCTTTCCTACATCTGTGCCCAACATACTGCTGACCCTCACATAGCTGCTCTCCTTGTTGTCCCACTGTGAACAAGCTTTTTGCTAGTCTATCCTTTAGCAGCAGCATTACAGCTACTAGAGTCTAGTAGTGGTTAAATCGTGGGCCTGGGAGAGCAACACACCTAACTTCAAGCCCTGTTTATGCCTCTTGAAAGCTGTGTGATCTTGAGAAGTAAATAAAACTCTGAACTACAGTTTCCTATAAAGTTAGTTATCTACTTCATAGGATTATTGTGAGACTGATATAGAGTTACTGTGAGACTCAACTGAGACAATGGGTACAATGCATTTAGCATAGTATCTGGCACATGGTGAGCAATTAATTAATCGGAAACTCGCATTTTTAGACTATTTCCTCAATCTAACATTCTTCCCTACTCCTGGCCACCTGTCTAAATCCTGGTAATTTTTCTGTATTTCTCAGGTTCCACTTCTTCTCTAAGCCTTCTACAAACTTGATTCTTTCCTTTTAATGTGTTTCTTGAGAACTCTGACATAAACAATGCTGGGATTAACCTCTAGTACAGGATACATACCTGTCATGTCTAATTCTTTGATTGAGGACGAAAAGAACACACACACGTGCGCGCGCGCACACACACACACAGTATATATGTAGTAGAAGCTGCCGACACCCCACTCCTCATCCCCTTGGCCCTTCTGAGTTGGCTTGCAGCCCACTGGTTCCTCAGAAGGTCCCCAGCAGGCGGGAGTCAGTGCTGCCCACAACAGCATCCCACTTGTTAGCGTGCCCTTTACTGCTTTGCCTCCTTCCCTGGATCACTTTTCCTCACAGCCATTTAAGCTTCCTGGAATCACTTCTCAAATTAACTATTTGCATCAAAGTTCTCGTCTCAATGTTTGGTTTTGGTGAAACCCAGATAAGACAGGAACTAACATGACCGACTTCACACTCTATGTCAGGCATTCTGCTTTCACCATCTTTCATATTCTCCACATTCTTATGAAGCTGGGTATTCTTATACCCATTTTATGGTTACAAATTAGAAAACCAAGACTCAAAGCAATTAAGTGACTTGTTCAGGGTCATAAATATATTAATTAGCATATCCAAATGCTTCTTTAGGTTCCCATCTCCAAATTAATAATGGTATGGAAAAGAAATAAAACATTTCAGGATAAAGTTAAACATATTATAGAAAATAAAGTCAGGTAAAAATTAGATCTTATTCCTCAGTTTAGCCAAAGTGTGACAAACTAAGATTTAAAACTAAATTTAATGAAATCATGTCTGGAGACATAGATGTTGAACGCTTAGATGTCATTTAAATGCCTTATTTATAGTCCACTTTCTTTATTCTGGGAAATAAAAGTGGGAAGATATGGCAGTGGAGTGATGCCCAAATGAGTCAGATTTTATAAGAAGCTATTAGAAGATGAAATTGATTTGACCTCTAGAACATTTGAGAAAGAATTAGACAAAGGGGACTTTCCTGGGTATTTAGAGACTAAAAGGAAAGGCTTAGATGGATGAGAAAAATTGAGAAACATTTCTCTACCATATTAAAATTCTCATTCAGAATTGATTTCTTTAATCTTTCTAAGTCACATTGTCCATGTATATAAGGCTTATTGAATTATAATATCAACTGTCAAACCCAGTGAATGTGGGTAAGGAGATAGCTGGGAAAATGTTAAGGGAAGCAAAGGACAAAGAGATATGTTGTCCATTTAGAGACAAGTATTAGCTGACCAATGCATTTCCTAGAGTTTTAAAATCTATATTAGTCAAATTGGAGAAGTTAGAAATAATCAGTTAGAATTAGGGAATATTACCCAATTTAGTTAATGCATGTTATTTTCTGTGGTTCTGTAGTCTAGCTGTCAAGTAAAGTTTGTACTTTTTGGAAAATCAGATTGATGAGTTTGTATGAGATAGAGCCAGGGTCTTCAGAGAAAATAGAACTGAGTCTTCAGTTTTCATGAACTTTTAGAACACTTGATATTTATAGTAAGCCTTGAGATGATCAGACAGGGTACAGTAAATCTTTATTATGTACTAGAGGCCCAGTGCACAAATTCATGCACAGGAGTGTGGTAGAGAGGGGAGAGGGGTCTTTCAGCCTGGCCTGCACCCTCTCACAATCCGGGACTCCTTAGGGGATGTCTGTCTAAACTGGCAGTTGGACATCCTTCTAACAATCCGAGACCGCTGGCTCCTAACTGCTCGCCTGCCTGCCTGATGCCCCTAACCACTCTGCCTGCCTGCCTGATCACCCCTAGCCACTCTGCCTGACAGCCTGATCACCCCTAACCACTCTGCCTGCCTGCCTAATCACCCCTAACCACTCTGCCTGACAGCCTGATCACCCCTAACCACTCTGTCTGCCTGCCTGATGCCTCTAACTGCCTCTGCCTGCCTGTCTGATTGACTCTAACCACTCACCTTTTTGCCTGATCACCCATAACCACTCACCTGCCTGCCTGATCACCCCTAGCCATCTCTGCCTCAGCCCCCACCACCACAGCTTCGTCTGGAAGGACGTTCAGAATGACATTCAGAAGGTTGTTTGGCTATCCAGTCTAATTAGCATATTATGCTTTTATTATTATAGATTGCCTGTGAAGTTGCTACTGTTTGCCTTTTTTAATGTCACATGAAATCATAAAAAAACCTAATCAGTTTGAATTGGGCATTATAGTTTCCTTCCTTTAAATTTTTAAGTGTTTTCACTTATGCATAACCCAAAAGAATGACATCACATTATTTACTGTAAATTTATTAGCTCTGCTATGAAGTCATTTAGTTTTGAGCTCTCAAAAAAAAATGACTTCAAGCTTTTGTAGTGTGCCTCTAATTCACATTTTAATAAATGTCATTTTCTAAGTGCATTACCTCATGCTTTGGCTTCAATCCAGAGGCATACCGAGAGAATAAGAGAAATGTGCTTTCTGACTGGTTCATCCATATTTTATTTTACTTTTCATTAAGAAATTACTCTTTGAAGGAAATCAATAATCTTCTCTGACTGAGGGGAGAGGTTAGAATGTTGCAGTGGTGCATTCTAATTTCTCACGTACACTGCTTTCAGCCAGCTGTTGCTGATAGAGTGCTTGTCCTTTCTCGTTCCTGCAGCCTGGGTACATGGCGACCCCAGAAGAGTGGCTTACCCTACAGACAGCAAGGGCCACTTTTGTGGCCAGAAGGGCACCCCCAATGAGTGAGTATGGCCACCTTTGCTTTGTCTGATTTTACTGTTTAAGCTACAACCTGGAAACCACGTTTGCATTCATCTTACTGGACTTCTTAACAAGATTGAAATTCAAAAGGAAGGCCTTCCCTCCACGTTTTCCTGAAACAGTTTATAAGCAGTTGGAGAGTTTCATACTATATGACGTAAGACAAGATGTCACTATTATACAGCATTTTGTTAGATTGCATGAAGATGTTGCTTAATGAAAATATAATGGTAATGGATGAGTTGGACCAGTGATTTCATCAGAAGCCATATTTTAAAGTGCCTTATGAAATGGCTTTTGGAAGGCTGAGTTCTGAGTAGCTGTTAAAAAGCTAGAGATTAAAAAGCTGTTGTTAGATTTGTGTTTGCTGTAATTAAATCACTCTGATAAATCACTCCCCCTCTCAAGTGAGGAGCCAACCCAGAAAGTCCTCTATGTGTGGTAGACTTTTCAAGGCAATGACCTTAAGTAGCAGAAACAAGCAAGGACCAAGGTTCCATCAAATTCCTTTCCAGTGTTAATTGAAACAGAAAAAGTTTTTTCTTTTATTTCTTTACTTTAAGAAAGCAAAACAAAAACATAAATCTCACACTTTAAGAAAATTTTGCCTTCTTTCCCACTAGTAATTGGAGTTGTTACTAGATCTGGTTCTTTATAACCAATTCAGTTTCTATAAAAGCTGGTACTGAATGGATAAAATCCAAAGCAACAACAGTCCCTGTCCTCCTGCCACCACCAACAGCAAATAAGGCTCAGAACGCTTTGGTGAGTTTCCCACCCACAACTGTGGAGCATATTATTTGAGATACACAGATTTTAAAAATAGATTCAGGAAGGTGTTAACAAAATTCATAGAGTAGAATTTTTATAGACAACTAAGAGAACCTAAAATTTGGGTGGGAAGGAGACCCTCAATCATGTCAAGTTGAGTTTATAGTGGACAAATTGACTCCAACAAAAGGTCTTCGTTGCCTATTAGAGACAACTAGACTGAACTCTGATCTAGGGTGGTAATTCTTATTTTAACCTCAGCAACTAAAAACATCCTAGGCAATGACAACAGACACTTCACCCTATGAAGGACAAATAGAGCACCAAAAAGTAATAAAAATCTCTAAGTCTCTAGTTCTGTAAAATAGGCAATTTTTAAAGGTCTCCTGTAGGGATAAAATTATTTGCCCATATACATGTGATTTTATTTCTGGGCTCTCAATTCTGTTCAATTGGTCTGTGTGTCTCTTTGTCCACCAGTACTATACTGTTTTGATTATTGTAGCTCTATAGTATAATTTGAAGTCAGGTGGTGTGATACCTCCAGTTTTTTTCAGTATTTCTATGGCTATTCAGGGTCATTTGTGGTTGCATACAAATCTGGTGATTTCTGTGTTCTATTTCTTTAAAAAATGACATTGGTTAAGACCTGGGGTGGGGGCTGGATCGAGAGGGTAAGGGTGGGGGAAAGGAGGCCATCTGTAATACTGTTAACAATTAAAAAAATATACAGGGTGTTTCAAAAAATGTATACACACTTTAACAGCTAAAGCTCAATTTTGAAAATGAAACGTATTTTAATATACACTGCCTTTATAATTCCAAATGTATCTACATTTTTTGGGACACCCTATATATAAAAAACATTCTCATCACAATAAAAAATTCTAACTATGTGAAGTGGTAAATGTTAACTAAACTTCTAGAAATTACTAGGTCCCTGGTGCATGAAATTCGAGCAAGGGGGAGGGTGTCCCTCAGCCTGGCCTGCATCCTCTCCAATCTGGGACCCCTCGCAATTCTAGGACTGCTGGCTCCTAGCCACTCACCTGCCTGCCTGCCTGATCACCCCTACCACTCTGCTTGCTGGATTGATCAACCCCAACTGCCCACCCCTGCCGGACTGATCAACCCCAACTGCCCCTCTACCCCGTTGACCTGATTGCCTCCAACTGCCCCCTCCCCCTGCCAGCTTGCTCTCCCCCAACTGTCCCCCCTGCTGGCCTGCTCCCCACCAAATGCTCCCTGCTGGCCTGCTTGCTCCCAACTGCCCCTCTTCACTGGCATGCTTTCTCCTAACTGCCCCTCCGCCAGCCTGCTCACCCCCAACTGCCCCCGCCTCACTGGCCTGATTGCCCCTAACTGCCTCTGCCTCGGCCCCGCCCCCATGACTTTGTCCAGAAGGTCTCACAGTCTAATTAGCATATTTCTCTTTTATTAGTATAGACTAGATGCCCGGTGCACAAAAATTTGTGCATTCGGGGAGCTCCCTCAGCCCGGTCTGTGCCCTCTTGCAGTCTGGGACCCTTCGGGGGATGTCCCTCTGGCAGCCCAGGAGCCCTCGGGGGATGTCCACTTGCCAGCGGGGAGCAGGCCTAAGCTGCAGTCGGACATTCTTAGCACTGCTGACGAGGCGGGAGAGACTCCTGCCACCACCGCTGTGCTTGCAGCCGTCAGTGTGGCTTGTGGCTGAGCAGAGCTCCTCTTGTGGGAGCACACTGACCACCAGGGGGCAGCTCCTGCATTGAGCGTCTGCCCCCTGGTGGTCAGTGTGTGTCATAGTGACCAGTCATTCCCAGTCATTCTGCTGTTAGGGTCAATTTGCATATTACCCTTTTATTATATAGGATAGAGGCCTGGTGCACAGGTTGGGGCTGGCTGGTTTTCCCTGAAGGGTGTCCTGGATCAGGGTAGGGGTCCCGCTGGGGTGCTTGGCCAGCCTGGTGAGGGGCTGAGGGCCGTCTTCAGGCTGGCCACACCCCCTTCAGGATGGGGGTCCCCACTGGGGTGCCTGACCAGCCTGGGTGAGGGGCTGAGGGCTGTTTTCAGGCTGGTCAAGCCACCCAGTGGGGACCCTCACCCCATGGGAGTGTGGCCAGCCTGGGTGAGGGGCTGAGGGCTGTTTTCAGGCTGGCCACAGCCCCTTCAGTGTGGGGGTCCCCGCTGGGGTGCCTTTCCAGCCTGGGTGAGGGGCTGAGGGCCGTTTGGGGGCAGTTTGCAGGCCGGCCAAGCCCCAGGCTTTGTCTGGAAGAATGTCCAGAAGGTTTTCGGAAGATCTCCTGGTCTAATTAGCATATTACTCTTTTATTAGTATAGATTTGTACATATATATATAATCATTATGTTATACATCTTAAACTAGTACAATGTTATGCATCAATTACATCTCAATAAAACTGGAAAAATTAAGTAGTAACTAGACAATAAAAAAAAGAAATCATAGATTTCAATCTAGCATGTTTGGGGCAGTGTGCTACTTTAAGAATAATGTCTAATGCTAGCAAACCCACCTGAACCATTACACTCACCCTCACTATCTTTTCTCTAGTTAGGTTCTGGCACAAGACCTTGATGTATTGTCTTGGGTACTTAATCACTACCTGAATTACCCTGATTATAAATTTGTTGACTTCTTTATCTCCCCTTACTAGAACCAACATTTTTTAGGTCAGGGACTTCCTCTGTCTTTTTTACTGTTTGTATCCTCAGCCTCTGCAACATTGGCATTGTTAAATGAATGAGAATAAAGGGGTAGTACAGATAAGAGAGTAATTTGTTCCCAAGGTCCGTGTAAAAATCTTATCAAATTCACATAACAACACTGCTAAGTGGACATCATCATTATTTTTCTCATTTAGAAAATTAGGAAACTGAAATTCAGAAAGGTTAAAGTACTTATTCAGGTTCAACTGACTACTAAATGGCAAAAATAGCATGTTCTAACCCCAAATCCTGTACTTTTCAGGCTGCACATTGATAGATTGCAGTGACTTTGGTTTTCTATGTTACATGTTTAATCTAGTCCTAAAGATCTTAAACATAAACTGGCAAAAAATGTCATTAAATTTAAAAAACACACAAATAAATGAGAGAGAGAGAGAGAGAGAGAGAGAGAGAGAGAGAGAGAGAGAGAGAGATTCCATTTCAAAATGAAATGCATTTATCAGGATGTGTAAGCAATTTAGGCACCCCAAACAATTTAGTCCAGAAAATTCTTGTTAGTCTTGTAACAATTAGAGTATTTGTACTTGTTAGTGTCATGAAGTACTTTAGCCCCTTGATTCTCAACTCTCAAAGACATTTCTTGTCACTGAGCTTAAATTCCATGTTTAGAGATAGTGTGATAGTATTTGGGATGTGGGGTTTGGCAATTTTTTTTTGTTTTATTTATCCATGCCTAACCAAAAGGAGAAACACTGGGTGTTTTCTAAAATGTCAAAACAGATAAAAGAGAACCCTCAAGAGAAAATGGAGTGCTTTGTTGATGTGTAACTTTTTCTGCCTTTTAGATTTCAGAGAAGTTATTCATGATACTTGGGGGTGGTCCTTTTCTTCGAATTTCCACTAAAAAGTGAGAACTCAAGTGATTTTGATGCCACCTTCTGGCTACTACGAAAACTTCAGCTTAAAAAGAGCCCTTGCTGGTTTGCCTCAGTGGATAGAGCTTAGGCCTGCAGACTGAAGGGTCCCGGATTTTGATTCTGGTCAAGGGCACATGCCCAGGTTGTGGGCTCGATCCCCAGTAGGGGGCTTGCAGATGGCAGTTGATCAATGGTTCTCATTGAGAGAGATTGGTGTTTCTATCTCTCTCTCCTTCTCCCTTCCTCCCTGGAATAATAATAAGAAAAAAAAAAGGTTGTGTTAAAACAACTTTGAACATGTTCTGAAGCAGTCCAATTACCCAATCTGCGGTCTTCATATAGGGAAACAGGAAAGATGAAGAGGGCAAAGGTCTTCCATATAAGTTTTGTATCATTTTGGCATCTAAGTGAAGCAACATGTCCACTCTTACTAAAGAAAGAAGATCAGGTCTCTTGTGTAAATTTGCTCTACTGCTGTGTCAGTTTTCCAGAGAGGCCTCTGTTCTATGGGGTGAGGGGGGAGGGGGTGACAGCTGTTCTGGCTGCCAGATTTCAGGAACTAGAGGGTTGCTCTCTGTCAGACATTGGCTCTCAAAATGCCACAATATGAAAGGTTGTAGGCTGCGGTGCCACACCCCACAGAAGCCCTTATTATTCCCAGAAGGTTAATTCAACAAAAGAGGCCTCTATTTTGGCCTATTTATTTACTTACTTACTTACTTACTTACTTACTTACTTACTTACTTATTGTCTGGATGCTGGAATTCTCAGAAGCATAAAGGTGCTGATTTGCACTATAGATCTGTATATGAACTTTCCGTTAATCTCGTTTTTGGCCATATTTCTCTTAATTCTGAGTCCAACATATCTCATTATTTCTAACAGGCAAAATAATGTCCCACCCTTTTTGTAGCCTCTCTGGTGCATCCATCACTCCACACACTCTCATATGCTTTTCATCTTCCCCAAATTGTTGAACTCTCCTGTATAATTGTGAACAGACCCCATCCTCTGTACCCTTACCTGGAATGGTGAGGGGTTTTTTTTCCTGTTTTTACTTTTATCCTTTTATTTTCATGAGTCTTGGGAAAGAAGGAAGATGGGCTTAAGTGCATGGAGGATCATTTTAAGTGAGTAGTTTGCAGTTGCTTCTATTTTGCTGTTTCTTCTTTTTTAAAAATATATTTTTATTGATTTCAGAGAGAAAGGGAGAGGGAGAGAGATAGAAAGATCAATGATGAGAGAGAATCATTGATTGGTTGCCTCCTACACACCCCACACTGGGTATAGAGCCCGCAGCCTGGGCATGTGTCTGACTGGGAATTGAACCATGACCTCCAGGTTCATAATTTTTGCTGTTTCTTGGTGGAAATATAATTCAAGTTAAATGCCGAGTGGCTTCCTCAGTCACTCCCACAGAATTGCTCAGCTGCAACCATCACCATATACTTTGTACCTAAGCAATCAGAGATCCACTGACATTTAAGGCTACCAATAAGGCTACAATAGAACAACTACAAATTTGTTCTGAAAAAGCAAGGATTTTAAGATTTTGAAAAACACTTATCATGGAATTTGTCTCATGCATTCTATTACATTTGGTAATTACATAGAATGGGCTGAGTGCTGGCTAAGTGTTAGCAAAGTAGAAGAATAAAGATGAATAAGGTATAAACCTTTCCCTGGAGGATAGCACAATCCAGTGAATAGCTTGAGTTTATGTAGCATTTTGCAGGTTATAAATCAATTTTACCTATGGGGTCTCTCGACACTTACTGATTTACCATTCACAGTTTTAACTACTCCTGAGAGACTCCAGTGATCCATGACATGCATTAATTTACTCATTTGCTGAGGTACAAATTGGAGACACATGCACCACGAGGCTGTGTGGATGATATAGCTGCTCGGTGGTGGAAGAGCCCAGCTGACTCTGTGGAGTCCTGAGCAGCCTTGTGTGTGTTGTGCATGAATTTATAACCCGGTCTTGAGCCATCTGAACTCCATGGGATTACGAATAAGAAATGTGTTTATCTTCCCCCGTCATTGCGTTTAACAATGTCCTTTCACATCTCACTTTTCACTCTGGTATCTCAGGTGCTTTCCCGACACTCTGTTGTTAAAAAGTTCAATGTAGTCTCATGTACAATGTGAATCTCAGATCTTCCACTCCTCCAGCTCAGGTTTTAACTCTGCAAGGGAACTTAAAGTGGAAGAGAGGGCCTGGTCTACTATTTCCCTTCTCTTCCCTCTCTTCTGGTTCTAGCTCTTTCTTTGTGTTGTGAGGGGTGGAAGGAGGAGTGTCTGTCACTTTTTTGGTCACTGTCCTAGTCCCATATGGTGTTGCTACTGCTACTAAGATACAACTAACTAGCCATCACACATTCTCTTTGAGGTAAGCGCCCAATGCCTGACTCTCTCATGGTGTCCAAGTGGACATTCTCTGGAGAAGTCCTCACGGAATAGTTCTTTGATTTAAGAGATCAGCTTAGCTTGCCCTCCTCCCAACCCCTTTAATTTTATCGCTCATGATTCACCTCCAGTCTCTACCAGGATAATGCAAGCCCGTATATTTGACTGGGCATCCTCCCATACTGACTACTTCACACTCCCCTCTTCCTGCCCCACTGACTTTTTTCAGCTCTCTGTGGTCTCTTAGGGTCTCATTTCTCACGGCTAAAATGGGCACAGAGGGCTGACTTGTAAGTCTGCAACATAAGTGGTGTTCAATTGGAAAATGAGATGCACATCTGTCCTCCCTACAGGTACCTCGGTCTCTATGAGAGAGTCTCTCCGAGCCCTCTGTAATTTGGCACTAGGAAGAAACATTCACCCTATCAATGAGGAGAGGATGGAGAGTCCTCTTAAATGTGATCACTGCATCCTTCCACTCCATTGTCTGCAATCCTCCTCCTTTCCCCCATGTTTTGCTTATGTAGATAGGAGCAGGAAGGGGGTAGAAGCAATGCAAGGGTCTGGCCCACATTTTTTTTTTTTTTTTTTTTTTTTTTTGTGGAGAGCTTTATTTGTCCTGAGATTTGGATCCTAGTTGATAATTCTGAGTAAGTCGTAAAAGTATTATTCAACAGCCTGTTATATATTTTATGTTATGTATGTAGTCACATTAATTAACTGGGGACTTGATAAGGTGCTAGGAACATTCTCAAATGTTTAGGGCTTCTCTTAAAGTGTGGTTTATATGCCACCTTGATCTGAATCTACTGGGGAAACAGATCTGAATTCCTGGGATGCATACCCAGAGATCTGGACTCTCAAGGTTTGAGAAGGAGTCAGGAATCATGATTTTCAACAACCACCCCAGGTTTTACTGATGCATAGTCAAGTTGGACAAGCTCTTGTCCTGAGTTCCCTACACATTATTTTGTGTCCTGCCAACACCACTGTGAATTAGATAAGGCTGGTGTTATTCCACTATACTGCTGAGGAAATTGAGATTCAAAAGAGAACCATGATGCCCTGGCCAATGTGGATCAGTTGGTTGAGCATGGTCCCATGTTCCGAGAGGGTCGCTGGTTCTATTCCTGGTCAGGGCCCATACTGAGTTGCAGGCTCAATCCCCAGTAGGGGGCTTGCAGGAGGCAGTAAATTGATGTTTCTCTTTCTCTCTCTCCTTCCCCTTCCCCTCTCTCTAAAATCAAATAAAAAACGAGAGAGAGAGAGAGAGAGAGAGAGAGAGAGAGAGAGAGAGAGAGAGAGAGAACCATGGCTTGCCAAATGGCAGAATAATGCTTCACTCAGTGCTAGTGATAATGACTATCAACCTGTCCTATCACTCTGCCACTGACCATAATTTTTAACACAAAGGAAATGTTACTCTATTTATATATCTTTTTTTTCAGATTACCAAAGTAATACATGGTTTATTTTAGGAGATCCATAAAAGTATAAAAATTAACAAAGCAAATATAATTTCACAATTCAGATATAATTTGTTTCTGCATATCATGTTATACCTATTTTTTCAAAATGAAAATAAAGTCATATCTTAATACTCTTTAGTAACATGATTTCTAAAATTAATATATTGGGAATTCCTCCATCCATGGAATATTTTCTTCAACATTATATATAGTGACAATGAGTCTTCCATTTTATGGATGTAGAATTTTTTATTTAACCAATCCCCTATTGATAGGTGATTTGATTATTTCAACATTTTACATTACCAATGTTGCTTTAAATGTTAGGCAGTTTAAAAGGAAATTGGAGATTGTATTGCAGCTATCTAGAGAAAATGAAGTCAATTTTAAAGGTCATATTAAATTAAAAGTGTACAGAGTCTGAAGTGATATGGAACATTTCCATAGTCACTAGAAAAATTATTTTATGTTGTTCTTTTTTTAATTTATCATTAATGTTTAAAGTAATACAGATGATGTTGTTTTTTTAACAGGAACAAGAGCATTTTGTTTTATTTTAACCTGTTAAGCTGTACCAGTCCCTCCGTGATGATAAACCTACAGTGCCCTACTACACAGGTAAGGAAAAAGAAAAGAAAAGAAAAGCCTCGTTGGTATTGTAAGCAATTTTGACCATTGTTGGATGAAAAAATTCAGAAATTTCATTTGAGTTTTCTGTGTATGTCATGATGAATGTATGGAAAGTGGGAAGACATGAATATGAGCTTATGTTTGTTCATATGCAATCAAAATGAAGCAAGGATTAATCACTTTAGTATTGCCAAAGAACCTTGGTGATTATTTTGTCCAACCACCTATTTTTTTAAAATATATTTTTATTGATTTCAAAGGTAAAGGGAGAGAGAGAGAGAGAAAAGAGAGAGAGGAACATAAATGATGAAAAAGAATAATTGAATCATTGATTAGCTGCCTGCTACACACCCAACACTGGGGATGGAGCCCGCAACCCAGGCATGTGCCCTGGCTGGGAATTGAACCATTACCTCCTGTTTCACAGGTTGATGCTCAACCACTGAGCTACATTAGCCAGGCCACCTATTTTTACAAATGAACAAACTACAGCCCAGAGAAGTGGAGGTATTTTTCTCCAGATTAGTATTATAAAGAGTAAAGCTAGGAACTGTAAGTAACAAACCTCAGTTTTTCATTGACTTAATGAAATCAAGTTTCTTTTTAGCCATGGAACAGAATAAGACTTAGTGGCCAATGGGGATTCTTCTCTAGGCTTCTTTCATCTGATGGCTCTACCATTCCCTAAGTCCTCAGCATCTGCATCCATCTGCCAGAAGGAAACAGAGAGGATGAATAAAGCACCCCTGCTCTTAAATGCCTTGGATCAGAAGTGTCACACAATGCATTTCTACTCATATGCCATCGACCCATTAGTTTTATATGTTCACATCTGATTCAAGAAGAAAGGATTCAAACAAGGTAGTTGTGGGCCGAACAGCCTTCTCTGTGCCATGAAACAAGAGGCACACATTTCAATGAGCAGTTAGTTGTGTCTTCATAGTTAAACCCTCTGTCCTCCAAGAGTCCCATATAGCACTGTCTTTAACCCAAAGTCCAGGATCTATGGGTGATGCAGGTCTCAACACTTAATGAACAATGGGGTTGGGACTAAGAAAATTAGAGTACAAACTCTCATCAGAAAGGAAGGAATGATAAATACACTGGTGCATGGCAGTAGGGAAGAGTCCTTTATTTGACGTGTTCTTTGAGAGGAGCTTCCTAATCCACTGCATCCAATTATCCCTCGCTGGAAGGTTGTTTCCTGTTCATTAGCCTCCAGGCCACACTATTGCCCAGCACTGGAAATATGCTCTCTTGAGGACCATATAGCTTTAAAGCTCTTTTCCTATTGTGCAAGTTTTAGTACCTCAAACATTATTTTAACAGTCAAAGGCCTTTTTAGGTTGGCTTGTGAATTCATTGGCAGTACAACTGCCTCAAGAACTTAGTAGCTACTGATTTCCGTCTTTTTGGCTCCATGTGCCAGGAAACCACACCCAGAGAGAGATCTTTCCTAGAATCTGTTTATTGATTTGCTTTCTTTCTTTCTTCCTCATCTCTGTCAAAGACTTTTGATATCTTATTTCCTGCTGAAACTGAAACCAACTTGGTATATTGGCATCTTAGTTCTGTGACCACCTCTGCCACAGACCTTGTTTTGCATTAGAGCCACCCACTACCAAGGTCAAATCCTTGATCTTGTCAGTACCGATAATTACCACCCTTTGTCATAACTACTTCAAATATCCCACAGTCTGATCATGTCAGTCTCTCTAACATTTTAATGATTCTTCTACCTCACCAGGACCTACTAACCACTGATCCTGACCCCTCCAAAGTGTCCTTCAGTTCCCTCATGCTTTCATCTCCCTCTTTACTTGACTTATATTCCATGGTCCCTCTTTAAAATCACTCCCTTATGGAAACCCTCAATTTCTATGTCCCCCTCACCTCATTGTACTTCCCTGACAAAACTTCATCCCAGGCTAAATGCAGCTCACACACAAAAGTCCTTTAAATTCAGGATGACTAACCTCAAGTGGGCTCTCATTGCTGTGCCACAACCGCACTATAGACCCCTTCCCATTTGCTAGCCTACTGTGGTAGAAACACTCTCACACCTTTTCCTCTCACCTCCAAGATCTCCTTCCCAATATCCATGGCAGCCTCTGACTTTGCCTCCTATTTAACTGAGAAAGTATAAACATTCAGAAGACAACTTTTTAAAAAATATATATTTTACTGTTTTTTTTACAGAGAGGAAGGGAGAGGGATAGAGAGTTAGAAACATCTATGAGAGAGAAACATTGATCAGCTGCCTCCTGCACACTCCCCACTGGGTATGTGCCGGCAACCAAGGTACATGCCCTTGACCAGAATCGAACCTGGGACCCTTGAGTCCACAGGCCGACGCTGTATCCACTGAGCCAAACCGGTTAGGGCCAGAAGACAACTTTTAAAAGCTCCCACACTGACATCCACTTGTGCCTTCAATTTTGTCTCACATACTCAAACACACCACTCTAGAAATTTCCTATTTTTTTCTTTTTATTAATATTTCCTTCTCTACTAAATCATCCTGATCCTTCTCCAGCAACTTCTCTGTATCTTTGTGCCCCTCCCCCATTTTTTTTTGTAAAACTCTTCAAAAGTATATGCCTAAATCCTTCTCATTCTCATTCAGGCTTTTACTGCTACTCCAATCTCCTCCAATTGATAACATTTACTTCCATATTATTAAACCAGTGGTCAATTCTCAATCCACACTTACTTGATCTAACAGCATTGTTTAATCAATCCCTCTTCCTTAAAATGCTTGCTTAGTTCATTTGGCTTCCAGTGTACAACATTTTCTAATATTTCCTCCCAACTCTCTGGTTACTCCCTATCAGTCTCCTTTGCTGGTTTCTGTTCATCTTTCCAACATCTTCTAAGCATTGGAGTTCCCTCCTCCACCAAACTCATTCTTCTGTGAAATCTACATTTACTTCTCTGATGGTCTCATCTAGTCTTGTGTTTTCACACCCTCTATATGCTGCCTTCCCTAATTTATATCTCCAAATAAGTCTGCTGCCTTAACTCTAGATCATTATATCCAGCCACTGAAGCAATGTCTCTACATGGATATTTAGTTGGCAGGTCAAATTAATATGTGCAAAAACTCAATTCCTAATTTTTTTCATCCCTACAATTGTTTCTCAACACCAATAATTTTTCCTATTTCAAGTAAGGACATCTCTGAATACCGTGAAATGGAATACTTTTTTATTCCACTTTCTCTCACCCTCATGTTTGAGCTGCCAGCTAATTCCTCCTGTCTCCATTGAAAATATACCCTGGACCACACTACTTTTCACCACCTCTTCTTTTTTTTAAGTGTTTCATAATTTTTTTATGGTTCTAGATAAGCTCAGTGACCTCCTGACTGGTCTCTCTGCCTCTACCCTCAAAACCCCAACCCCTTACAGTATTTTTTCCACCCAGCAGCCAGTGTGATCCTGTTATAAATATAAATCACATGTCTCTCCTTTGTTCACTCCCAGCCCCACAGCTTCTCAAGTTACTCAGATTAAAAGCCAAAATTCTAACAATGGCCTACAAGACCCTTTACTGGCTGCCTGGCTCTCCGACTGCACAGGCTGTACTCTCCCTCTGGTCCCTGCTCTGGGATCATACTGGCCATCTGTTGTCTTCAAAGGATCCAGGAAAAAGCCTGCCTCAGAGCCTTAGATTTTGCTGCTCTCCCTGCCTACAGTGCTCTGTCTTCAGGTGCCTACGGCTTGACTACTAGTGTTCTTCAAGTCTTTCTTCAATTGTTACCTTTTTAGAGAGGTCTTCCTTGACTACCTATTTAAAATGGGAATCCCACCCAGCGAACTTTCACCCTCCAGCCTCCTTTCTAGTTTTATTTTTTTCCATAGCATTTATTACTATCTTTTAACAAAGAATTTTACTTATTTGTTGTTATCTGTCTCCCCCTACTAAAAGGTAAACTGCTTGGGGGCAATAATTTTTATCTGCTTTGTTCATTATTATATCCCCAGTGCCTAGAACAGGCTCAGAATAGGTGATCAGTAAATCTTTGTTGAATCGAATGAATGAATGAATGAATGAATGAATGAAGGAAGGAAGGAAGGAAGGAAGGAAGGAAGGAAGGAAGGAATTAATATCTTCCTACTCCCAGTCTAGGCATTTTTCTGTTATAATATATAAATCTATCATTCCAATGATGAAACAAAAAATAAATCCTTGTACATTATGCTTGTTTATAGTTTCGTAAATTATTTACTAGATCATTATTTCTTCATAGCTAATGTAGTGGTTTAACCTTCAACGTAACTCTCTCTTTCACTCACCAAATTATAATTTGTATTAGAATGCTAAAACCTAAATGAATTGAAGATGTAGTAAGTTACTGATGAAGAACTACTACATTCATAGTGCCCCTTTGTGGTTACTCAAAGAATCAGAACTGAGTCAGAATATAATTTAACTGTCAGTAATTCAGACTTACTTTTAGTCTGCCAGGCAGTAGTTTATCTATTGATCCAAGCCATATTTTTATGTATTTTGTTGTTTGTTAACTGTCAGCATGGTCCAGACATGTTTCAAAAGCATTTGAAGGACAGAGTGTGATCAATTATGATACTCAGCCTCAATGTGACCTTCATTTTTGGCTAATTACATGTTGATTGCTACAGTACCCTCTTTAAAGTGAACAAATTGGTCTGATAGAAATAGAGAGTAAAGAGCAGTTGCTATATTGTTTTTTAACAGTTCATTTTGTGTCTGGGATGAAATTTGATGTGCTTCTCTTTAACAAACCACTTTTATACCATTTAATTACTCTCTTTTATGTGTTGCATACACAGGACTTTTATCTATGTAAAAGTATACATCGTATGTGTATCTGTTTATAAATATACAAATCATCGTGGTCCCAATTCAGTAATTCTTACCATCATTTAAAGCCTGAGAAAGCATTAGTACTTTCAGTATTCACTTTTATAAATCCATTTAAATATATCCACTAGGGAACTAGTTTAGTATTCTTTCAAAGTCATTTAGTAAATTATCAAAGTAAAAATTTCTGTTAGGTGGCTCCTAATATGTTAATAATTTATTCAGTTTAGCTGTAATCAGAGTGAGCTTTTGACATTTGCATTAATATAAACCTTGCCTTCTTCCAAGAAAAAAAGTGAGCATATTAGATGTTGTGAATGTCCCTAAATGGTTCTTCAACTTTTGTAAAGATACTTGTGAAACTTCTGATAATCCCTCTAGAGGTGTATGAGTTTGTGTATGTGATTGTATGTGTGTGTACACATGTGTGTATGAGAGACTGAGAAAGAGAAAATACATATGGAGATGTGAATATGGAGATGGGTTGTTAAAACTTCTAGAATGAATTAGACTGCTGCTACTACAAAACAATATCAACTATGAGATTTTAGGTGTTCATTTAGTTATCCACCTACTACCTTATCTTTGGGGCCAACACCAAATGGCCTGTGTACGGCAGAAACATGGCCCAAAGCTGAGAAGATGTGAGCTCAGCAGCAGTGTTTCTACCTAACTGCCATTGGAAGGTGAACTAGCATCTGCCAGTAAGAATAGTTAGCAAAGTGTACAGCCCGGAGATGGAGCAAGTCACAAGGAGGAACGAAGGTGAAGGAGAGAATGTGCAAGAATTGACTTCAACTCTCATGACTTAATATGATTTCTTTCTTCCTTTCTTTCCCTTCCTTCCTTCCTTCCTTCCTTCCTTCCTTCCTTCCTTCCTTCCTTCCTTCCTTCCTTCCTTCCTTCCTTCCTTCCTTCCTTCCTTCCTTCCTTCCTTCTGTTCTTTTTTTACAAAGAAAAACAAAACCAATAGAGTGCATCTTTTGTAATTCTAGTTTCTCTCTGTGGAGTTACTAATTGGATTTCAGTCACTCCATGATAGCTCTGCAGACTAGCACAGGGATCTGGTTTGGCATTAATAGGTCCCCAAAGTTGATTAACATGAAATAATTGCATCGGTGACCTCTCTGCCCACATGTGACTAGTGTTGCTAAAAGACTATAATAACAATTGATTGCCATGAATAGCCCTCATTTTGTTAGTTTCTAATAGTAACAAAACCTCAATTATGTTTTGAGAATTCAGTGGCACTGATAGTTATTAGTAGCATAAGTTATCAATTTTTGGAGCATTTTTAATCATCATTTTATTCAAATATAGGAAAGGTAGCAAGTTTCTAACCCTGAAAATGTATACACTACACAGGAAAAATTGCCAAAATATTAATAAGTTTAATGGGTTGTTACAATCAATTTCCTGGTGGTGATATTCTACTATAGTTATGCAAATTATTACCATTGGGCAAAACTGGGTGAAAAGTATGTGGACTCTGTTGTTTCTCAGGGCCGCATGTAGATCTACAATTATCTGAAAATCAGAAGTTAAAAATAAGTCCATCATTGACAGCATCTTATTGTTTTAACAGAACATCAGTGGGCAAGGAGTAGAGATTAACAATCAGTATATGAAATTTCATTTTTTACAATATGATTAGAAAGTTAATTTAGTTTCTTATATGGAAAATGGTGCTTGCTCTTAATCATGGTGGGTACTTTAGAAGTCTAACCTTATAGATACATCCTTGGTTTGTTTAGCTTAATTCAGTTCCCACCATTGTGTTCCTTTTCTTCATAGATCTGTGTCTCCAAGTGCCCAGAAAAATTTTTAACCTATTTAGAAATACAACTTCCATTCAAAAGAGACAAACACTCTTGGGAATATTATAGCCAGTTCTGCAAGTCCCCTATTTTTCATTCTGCAAAGGTATGTATGTTCAAGTTTATAAATTTAGAAAAGAATTTAACTTTTATTTCAATATCAAGTGTAGCATGAACATTTGTAACTAGACAAGCTCTCAAGTCTAGGAAATGATTACTAAAGAAGGTACCATTCCATTAAAACATGTGTACACATGCACGTATACATAGAAAAACACACATATCATTTATAGCATATTTTGTAGGCTTGCATATATTTTATATGCAAGATATAAGTCTGGAAAGTTAGCTTCAACTTTTCCCTGACACCAATAAATTCTCTCTTGGATGGAAGTTTTAGCTGTCAAGAGCTAAGAGTTAATGTCATTGGCAGTTAACATTTTATCAATCCGTTGATGAAGCCCCATGGTTAATTAATAACATGTAGAATTTTACTTCCAACTCCAGTTTCATAATTATTCATTTTTTTAAAATCCCCCAACCCTACCTAGGTTTATGATTTATAAGGGAATTTGAAAGCTTATTTAGTATTAATGGCTTCCAAATTAGAGAAGATATTGATTTTCCAGAAGAAAATTTAAAGATTAGAGGCTCAGTATGTGACTCATACATACTTTCTTTTTTTTAAAAAAAATATTTTTTTTGATTTCAGAGAGGAAGGGAGAGGGAGAGAGATATGGAAACATCAATAATGAGAAAGAGAATCATTGATCGCGGGCCTGCCTCCTGCACATCCCCTCCTGAGGATCAAGCCCACAACCCAGGCATGTGCCTTGACCAGGAATTTAACCTTGACTTTCTGGTTCATAGGTCAACGCTCAACCACTGAGCAACACTGGCTGGGCTCTTTTTAATTTTTTTTTTTTTTTTTAAGAGTTACATACTTTCAAAGTTGTGCCTTGCTTTCAGAGGGTCTGGTTTTATTATTGTTGATTCAATTGAATTTCAGTTAGGGCATTTAAGAGCATTTCTCAACCAAGTATATGAGTGTGATAATCTCACTATTACTTTTATTAGGGGAGTAATTTGGAATAATGAGATTATTATGCAACTGAACTTTTAATGGACAAGAGTTCTATATTGAGAGTAAAAGTTGTCATCACATAGCCTTTGAAATGTTAACATACTCTTCCTTCCATTTTAGTCTCTCTCAGAAATAGTAATGGATGATGAATGTCCAGCAGCGATTTTCCCAAGCAAACCTTGTAAGTGGTTATTATTTTACCATAGAAATACAGAATCTATGAAGAAGTTACTTAATTCACTCCCTCATTTCACAATGGGAGAAAATGAGGTCAGTAATATTACTAAGACTGGCTCAAGACCCCCGAGTTAATTAGGAAGGAAGCTAAAGGTAACACTCATTCTCCTGACACTAGCCAGGGCTATTTCCACTGGAGTTGTGTGAGTTTGGGGGTTTTGCTGCATAAACATCCACATATAAAAAAGATTGAAAATTGATTTTTGAAAGCCCAATCATATTGATTATCTGGTACTCTATCAACACACATAAGCACATACAGAAACAGACACTTACTGCATACTGACCCCTGAATTCAGTCAAAATGTTTGTTCAGAAATTGCTTTGGGAGTGATGGACAGACATATACTTTTCTTTATAATTTGAAATTTGAAATATTTATATGTCTCCTGATTAAATCAACATTTCATATCTTTAAAATTGATAAACTTTATTTAACTCTGTTTAGAAGAAGATGAAATAATCACTCATTTTCCTTTCTTACCGATATAATTCTAATTATAGAGAAAAATCATTACATAAAGGTGTTCATCACAATGTTATCCAAAAGGACCCCTTCAAAAAAAAAATAAAGAAAAAGGAAATACTCTAATGCCCAAGAGTAAGAGAATGCTCAAATAATTGATGAAATGTTTATTAAATGAAATATTTTAGAATTATTAAATATAAGTATTATGTAAAATTATAATGTTAAATGAAATACAAAATTCTATATGCATTAGAATGAAAAACATGTATAAATTAAAATAAAGAAAAAATTATTCAAAGCAAAAGATTGGAAAGGAATATGCCAATATATTAAGTGGTTGTTTTGGAGTGGCAAAACACTGGGCATTTTCTGTTTTCTTTTTCTCCATTTTTTTTTACAATGAGTATATGTTTCTTTTAACATGAAAGAAAGTCAATTCATCAGGGTTGAGTAGAAAGTCAGGTAAAAATTGAAGTAGCTACCACCAAACACAATGTCTCATAGGCTTCCCTCACTCTTTGCTTGGTCATTAATGACTCAAGCAAAGATATAAATTTCCCAAGCAGCTGCATTTTACCAGGAAGCAAGTGCACATTTTCCCAAACAGTTTTATTTTACTTAGGCAGCAAGTGTCTGTAGCAAAGAATAGTACAAATTTTTATGCAAAAAGGTAAAAATGAGTCATTAGTCACTGAAGATATAATAGGTATAAAAGTATAAGACATAGTCCCTGCCCTTACAGGTGCAATTTGGTTAAATCTCACAATATAAAATACAACGGTGATACATAAATGAATAAGACATAGTCCCTGCCAGTCTAGTGAACGGGACATTAAGGTAAATATTGCAATCAATGTGTATTCCCCCTAGTATGGGATTAAGTATAGTTACTTAATAGAATAGTATACAGCTAATAAAATTCACTCATTAAAGAGTTTATAAAAGGAAATGAGTAACCTGAAAAGAAAAAACACACGCAATGTATAATTATAACAACAACAAAAAAGCCCACAGTCTTGTAGGAGAAAGCCTGAAAGGAAAGTTACCAAAAGATATAATTCACCGTGGGTGAATTAATAAACTATGTATAGTTTGGTATCTTCCTTCATATTTTCTCTATTTTCCAAATATGCACTGGGCATATTTAGAATTGAAACTAGCAGATTAAGTGAGTAGTTGCCTAGAAATAATATTTAGAACAAACCTGGGGGATTCTGTAGGTAGACACAGCTATATTTAAAGAGTGGAAAGGGAAAGAGTGCAGGAGAGAATCCGGACATGTAAGGCAAAGAAGTGACTTTGGAAAGGCAGGGGTGGCCTACCATGTCAAAGACTCAGGAAAGCTAACTCATTCAACAGTAGATATTTACTGAGTTACACCATGCACCAAGCGCTGTGCTAGGTAATGGGTTCAAGTAGGATGAAGACTAAAAAATATTTGGAGGTATTGGGAATTAGGAAGTCTTTGGGATCACTGGGAAGACAATTTCCATGGAGTTGTGGGCACAAGTGTGATTGGGTTAAGAGGGAATAGAAGCAACTGCTAGACTACTATGTCAGCTATGCCAGAGAGTGGGAAGGGGAAAGACAGGGAGGCTAATGAGAATTCAGTGGCACTTGAAGGAATCAACCATATAATATTCTAAGTGCTCCAGAAGGTGGAGGAGAGTAGACAAGAGATTATGTCAGCCAGGAAAGTCAGGAAAGGCTTTATAAGGACATATTTCTTCCTTTTCTGTATCAACTACTTCAATATGTTCAAGTCTAAACTCTATATGAACCCATGCAAATCTGTGATGCTTTGTTGAGGAGCTTCCCAGGTGAAATCTGAAACCAGCTCCCATGCACAGATGGTAGAGGGAGACTGAAGAAAAGTCAGGTTTAATAAGCAAGGGATCTGTGGGGATGAAGGGATGAGAAGAGATAAACCAAAGAACTTATATACTTACATACATAGCCCATGGGCACGGGCAATAGGGTAGTGAAGTCCTGGGTCGGGGTGTGTGGGTAGGGCCTGGGAAGAGGAGGGTAAAAGTGAGGGAAATGGGAAATATCTGTAATACTATCAACAATAATATATATATATATATATATATATATATATATATATATATATATATATATATGCAAAGGATCTTACTTAGTAGGCTTGTCTTGGGAGACCTCCAGATGAGTAGTTTTCTGTACCCACCTGCCAAATATTAGAAGTTTATATAGAGGCCATAAGGGGGGGATCAGTCACATACCCAATCCAGATACTCTTATCACCATATTCTATTTTTTTTTCTTTTTCTTTCTTTCTTTTTTTTTTTTTTTTTTAGCATATTACCCTTTTATTATTATAGATGTTCTGATGAAATGCTACATGTGTGTCCTTGGGAAGCTTCTAGCTTCGAAAAGGTAAACAGAGTGCACATCCCAAGCACAGGGGAGGAAGTAGAAGCCTCCAGTTGCTCAGGTCCAGCTAGTGGTCAAACTGGAGATCACATCTTTTTTATGACCTTCCCTCATGACCGTGACCATGACCAGCTCTTACAGTTACGTGGTCTCTCCCTGTGCCCTGAGGAGTCAACAGGGGGGTTCACTAGCATGGAGGTGGTTCATTTGGTGGCTATCTGGCTGCATTGGAGGCAGACACCACAGCAACAATATAGGCACATGCAAGGTGAAAACAAGGATATCCAAAATCAGTGACAATTTTATTTATTTATTTATTTATTTATTTATTTATTTATTTATTTATTTATTTTTATCCAAGAGGATCATGATCTGAACAATGGATTTACTAAATCCCCTAGGCTGGGGGTCAGATCACTTGCCGGGGTCCAACCCCAGCAGGTCCAGGGGTCCCCAAAGGTGTAGACGGAGTCGGCGAAGAAGGAAGGACACGGAGACAGTGTTCAGTTGATCAGCAGCCTAGCCAGGATCTCCAGCCAAGTTCTGGTCTGGATCTCCAGCGAAGTTCTGCTTAGGATCTCCTGCCAGGTTCTGTGTCCATGTTCTCTTGCTAGGTTCTCCAGGTTCTCCAGCCAGGTTCTGTAGCCATGTTCCCTCGCTAGGTTCTCCAGCCAGGTTCAGTCACCAGGTTCTAGTCAGGTTCTCTTGCCAATTTCTGTAGTCAGGTTCAGTCCAGGATCTTTTGCCATGTTCTCTCGCTAGGTTCTGTCTCTAGGTTCTGAGGCCAGTTTCTGTCCAGTATCTTTTGCCATGTTCTCTCCAGCGAAGTTCTTCTGTCTCTAGAGAACGTTCTGTGTAGGTTCTGTGCCTAGGTTCCGTCTCTCTTGGTTCCGTATTCTAAGTTCTGTCTTCTAAGTTCTGTGTCTTGCTGTCTTGTTACATCTGTATTTATACCAGTTGATTCAATCCTATCAATCTCTATTACAAAGGTTAGGGCGTTTCTTATCTCCATTCCAGGGAGTAAAGATTATGTAGCTTAAGCATGATTGTTCGTAGTTAAAGTGATTAATTACCCACCTGGCACTTAGTTAAGAGGTTTTATTCCCTCCCTAACTTCAGGGGAAAATCCCTACCTGGGGAAACAACCTTTCTCAGAGACCTTGGTTAAAACACATAGTGCCAAGAAGGTGAGCAAACATATTAAGAACAGCATGCCATATATGCCAGGTCCTTTGAAACAGCAAGGATGGACCGGCTCCCGGCAAATTCCCCCTTTTTTATTTTTTAAAAGCAGGCATTAAAAAGAAAAACCCCAAATGCTCTCTTGTATCCATTTTAAGAGTAAGATTGGCGCTTTCCGCTATTACCTGAGTCCTGATCTATCACCCCAGGGAAAGCTTGCCAATCCTGCACTTTCCCGGGGTGGAAAGGCTGCAGTGGGATTAAGGATAAGGCTCCTTGGACCTACCTCCTCCCATGCCTTTACATTTACCTTTCCTTCCTCAGAAAAGCATGGACATACTTCTTGTATAAAACGTTCTGTCTGACTGGGAGTAACCTTAATTCCTCTGCTAGCAAGCATATGTGTTAAAAGATCAATACAGAGTCTTTTTTCTTTAGACTCAGTATGGCACATCTTCTTAATCTAAAGATCAATACAGAGTCTTCTTTCTTTGGACTCAGTATGGCACATCTTCTCAATCTAAGTTCTGTACTATCCACCTTCTCACCCTATTTATCCTCTGTAGGGGGGTCTGCAGTACCCTGGTGGAGTCCTATCCGTCCCGAGTGTGGGGGTTCTCAATGGGGGGGCTTACCTAGGGGAATCCTGTTCCAGGGGTTCCCAAAGGTGTGGACGGAGTCGGCGAAGACTATCCACCCTCTTCCTACGGTGGAGTCCTATCCATCCTGAGAGTGGGGCTTACCTAGGGTTCCCTGTTCGGGCGCCATATGCCGGGGTCCAATTATCAGGTATGGACATGCAACATATAAAATACTAGAGGCCCAGTGCACGAAATTCGTGCATGGGGGTGGGTGCCCCTAAGCTCGGCCTGCACTCTCTCCAGTAAGGGATCCCTCTTGCAATCCAGAACCACTGGCTCCTAACCATCTCTGCCTGCCTGCCTGATGCCCCTAACTGCTCCCCTGCTGGCCTGATTGCCCCTAACTGCTCTCCACTGGCGGCCTGATCCCCTTAACTGCCTAACTGCTCTCCCTTGCCGGCCTGATCCCCCTAACTGCCTAACTGCTTTCCCCTGCTGGCCTGATCCCCCTAACTGCTCTCCCCTGCCAGCCTGATCCCCCTAACTGCCTAACTGCTCTCTCCTACCAGCCTGATCCCCCTAACTGCTCTCCCCTGCCAGCCTGATTCCCCTAACTGCTCTCCACTGGTGGCCTGATCCCCCTAACTGCCTAACTGCTCTCCCCTGCCAGCCTGATCCCCGCAACTGCCTAACTGCTCTCCCCTGCTGGCCTGATCCCACTAACTGCCTAACTGCCACCTTCTCCCATCTGCCTTCTCGCACGGCTCCGGACTTCTCCCTTCTCTCTTCTCACATGGCACTGGTCTTCTCCCTTCTCCCTTTATCCATGGCACTGCCTTCTCCCTTCTGCCTTCTTCTGCGGCACCTTCTCCTATGGCCTCTGCAAAAGGGACCATGGCGCTGGACCGGCCTTCACAGCCACTGCGGGCGGCTGCTGGCCCTCAGCCTTTGCAGCCACTGAGCTTTTTTTGGAAGGATGTCTGGAAGAACATCAGAAGACGTCCAGTCTAATTAGCATATTAATCTTTATATATTTATATCTATACTAATAAAAGGGTAATATGCTAATTAGACTAGGAGACCTGGGAGACTGGGCAGGGAGGGCAGTTGGGGGCCATGAGGCTGGCAGGGGAGGGCAGTTGGGGGCAAGCAGGCCATTAGGCAGAGTGGTTAGGGGCAATTAGGTAGGCAGGCAGGTGAGTGGTTAGGAGCCAGTGGTTCCGGATTGCGAGTGGGATATCCCACTGCCGGTTTAGGCCCAATACCATAGTCAGACATCCCCTGAGGGGTCCTGGATTTCAAGATGGTAAAGGCCAGGCTGAGGCCCCCCCCACCCTCCCGCTGTGCACCAATTTCATGCACTGGGCCTCTAGTATGTTATATTTTTTATATATTTCGCAGGTGAGTACAAAAATCTACTCTCCTTGCAGCTGCCCAAAACAAGCCTCGTGAATCCCCTTGCCAACTAAACCTGCCACATACAGTCTGGAGTCTTCTGACTTTCTTCATTCTCTCCTTGCCCTCCTCATCTGGGGGCTCCTTTTGGATTTACACCCGGGAAGCCCCCAGCCAGGTTTATGAGCCAACATGCTTCTTATAAAGAAAAAATATGAAAAGTATCCATTTTTAAATTTCTTTTCCCACTTCATTTAAAATTGGGATTTAAACATATTTTTAGCAATAAAGACTTGTAAAGGGGCAAGGATTCTATTTAATCAAAATAATCATATAGGAGGTTGAACAATGAGTTAATAACTCTTCTCAGAAACTGTGCTAATAATGGTCAAACCAGAGGTCACTTTTGTAGGGAGTCATTTTTGTTAGCTTCAGTGTTTCCATTTCCAGCCCCTCAAGAAAAACCATGTAAATGAGAAAGGTAGAAAATTATTGAAGCTTTACAAATTAAAATATAGTTGTCTTAGTAATACTGAAAGTTTGAGCTGGTTTTTATTTTCCAAGAAATTATTCACTAATCTCTAATTTTCAAGGTTTCACTCAAGGAGTGTCTAAGTTGGTGATTTTTGTTTTTTTAAATAACAAAACTAAACTTATCGAGTCATAGAAGTAAATGTAGCCTTTTAAAAACTGTTTACATGAGAGCTACAGTATCAGAGTTCCTCTTTTAAAACCTGTGCTGTGTATCTTACTTGATGAATGTACCATGTATAAAATAATCAAGTTTAGAATGTAGCTTCAGATTGTCATCATATTTGCTTTCCATGTGTCTTATAAAAATCAGGCAATTCTCTGATCATAAAATAATGGGCAATTATAATTGCTCAGTAGCGATTATACATTGTCTAGCAAGAACTTCGTTATAAATAACAGAAAACTTAACAAAGGGAGGACCTCATGTAGGAGGTAGGAAAGTGATTACCATAATTTTCATTTATTTTTACAGTTCTCCGGAGGTGTTTCCCTGACTTCTCTACTAAAAATGGCACGTTAACAGTAGGAAATAAGACCACGTTCGAAGATGGGAAAGGGCATATAAGAAATGCTGTAGAACTCAGGGCAGCTGCAAAGTATGCTTGTTTCTATTCCCATTTTCATTTTTGATGTGTCCCATTTTTGTACCCAAAACTAAAGCTTCCGTTAGGTTAACAGTCTAATACAGGAAGAATTATGTATTATGAAATATACATGTCACTGTGGATTGGAGAGCTTGGTCTGTGTTCATTAAGAAAAGCATCTAAAGGAGAAACCAGAAGAATTAGAAAGAACAATCATGATTTTCAAAATGGGTAAATCTTTCATTATCAACAGATATAGAAAGGAGACATCAGAAAATGTACCAAAAGATCATCATAAAATTTGCTTTTTAAATGAACATAATTTTAGAAAATCCATGCTTTTAAAAGCATCATTTAAAGAAATAAGACTGAAATAATAAAGCTACCAAATGTTTTTAAGGGATGGGGCCTTAAGAAAGGTGAGACAGCCTGACAATGCTGTTTCAGTACTGTCTTAAATGTCTGCATACTAACTACAATGAATTGAATTTACTGTTTCCATTGGCTGCACACATCACAGTACTCCACATTGGAAAATATAATTCCCAGGGTGCACACACACATGTGTTCACAAATGTACACACACTGAGTATCATTGCATTGCTCAGTTGTTGAATGAAAAATAAAGGTATGCTAAAATTTAATTTCTTTCTTAAAGGACATTTAGCATTCCTAATAGAATAGTACAGTATCTGCATGTTGAGAATATAATAGCAACATGGACAAATTTCGCAAATAGAAAGCTTTGTGGAATAATACAATACAATTCCATTAATAAAAGAAAATTCAAAAACAAGTACCAGTAAATTAAATTACCCTGTGATGCATATATAAGCGGTAAAATTAAAAAGGAAACTAGGAAATTATTATCACAAAAATCAGGATTGTGGTTATTTTAGGCAGGGAGGGGAAACTTTTTCTGCCAAGGGCCATTTGGATTTTTATAACATCATTCGCGGGCCATACAAAATTATCAACTTAAAACTTAGCCTGCTATATTTGGTCAAACATTTAATTAACTCGCCCCTAATGCGTTGGCAGGGCCAGATCAAATGATTTGCGGGGCTTACATGGATCGTGGGCCCGACGTTCCCCACCCCTGCTTTAGGGAAAGGGGAAAGGTATTGTAATTGGGGTACAATGGAAAAGGGATGATATAATTGTAGTTACTTACATGTGTTCACTTTGATCATTCATCAAACTGGACGCTAATGTATGGCGGGGTCTCTCTTTTCCGCGTCCAGGGCGGAAAGAGAGTGGTCTGGTTATTTGAGTAGAGACGGCTGAGGATTTGAGAAATATGAAAGAAAGAGACAAGACAGAAAGATGGAAGAAACAGCTGGGACTGGGTGGGACCACTGTCCTCTTCTGACGGAGAGACAGAGACAGGGACAGGGACCCAGCACCAGAACCGCATGTTTATTTTATACCGCAATACCAGGAAGCAACTGGGCGAGTCCTACTCATTCCTGGTGCTTGGCTGGATTTACATAATAAAACCCACTCCCCAACACCTGGGCAAAGATGAAAGTCAAGCTGAGAACTCTTCTGCCTTTTTGGTAACATGTGTATCCAGGGCATGGCTCTGCCTGTAACCCTGAATTCAGCTGACAGTTATTAGAGAAAATGCCCATGTGCCTTCCCAGGGGCCCTCTACACTAATGATTTGTGCACTTTTCTGTATGTGCCGATTGTTACGGAGCTCTCGGAGTTTTAGGTGAGTTAAAGATGATGGTTATTCTTGACTCTATGGATCTTGTAAGTTAAAAGCTGATCTTTACATTTAAATTTATTTCACATGGTGAGGCTTCTGCAATATTAGGCATGTCACATATGTTAAAAGGATCTGTTCACCATATTTGAAAGCCATGACTCTCTGTGTATAGATACAGCCGCCTTTGTAGGTTTACCAAAGAGACATCTCATGAACTGTTGTGTCTAGGAGTCACTACTGATAAATGGTTTCTAAAAATATGCTCTGAACAGCAGCTTGCAAAATTCCTTTTATCATAATAAGAATATTGATTTTTTTCCCTTCTTTGAATTCAGAAATATCAATAAAGTCCTCGATGCAAAGGCAATTGGAGTGAAAGTGTTTGAAGACTATGCAACAAGTTGGTATTGGATTCTCATGTAAGTAAAAACATAGATGTTTTTTCTCCAGCCCGATTCTGATTTTATCTTGGTAAAACTCTTTTTTTCAAATTCCCAATATATTCGTGAATTCAAGGTTGACTCAGACCTCAGTTCCTGCCATTTTGTTTTTTCCTATAGAATAAAATTAGGACAAAGATATTTGGAAATATGCCCGGTATTAAGAGGAAATTATAAGGGTATAAAGTTTAATTATATTCATTAAGATACATATACTTTAAGTTACATGGGGGCAGCATCTGATACATTGGCTTCTCATCACATGTTATGGTTGCAGTGTTCTTTCTCTGGCCTACTTTGTCACTTGTCCTTCCTTGACTTCCAAGGGATCATTCTTATTTTTTAACACATCCCTCCCACATAACGTTTGTTATCATCATCCACAAAGGTCACTGTACTTATGAGGAGCTGAAAAAAATATGAAGAGATGAAGAAATTCAAAATTTTCAGACATAAGATTTGCAGTCCTGAAAATGCAGTCCCACTATTGGAGTGGTACATGTGTTTGATATAGCTAAGGGCACTGTGTCACCTTCTAGCTGTTTTGTCACCTTCTTGTGTCTTAAAAGCATCTATGGTTGCCTACTGATCAAAGAATAAAGTGAAAACTTCTTTTGATGCTTACAAGGCCATTTGCAACCTAGTCCAACTTAATTTCCCAGGTTCATCTAAACACATTAAATAGGTTTTTAACAGGTCTAAACACATTAAATAGGTTTTTCGATTAACCCTATAGTCTAAACACATTAAATAGCATTCCTAGACTGCCAAACTCCCATGTTTTTGCACATTCTGTTCTCTTTCCTAGCATTATCTTTCTTGATGCCCTAGCCCATGGTCGGCAAACTGCAACTCGCAAGCCACATGCGGCTCTTTGGCCTCTTGAGTATGGCTCTTCCACAAAATACCACGTGCGGGCACTAGCACAGTGCGATTGAAACTTTGTGGCCCATGCGCAGAAGTCGGTTTTCGGTCTGGTCAAGTCTGTTTTGAAGAAGTACTGTTGATATTTGGCTCTGTTGACTAATGAGTTTGCCAACCACTGCCTAGGCAACTTTATCTCATTATTTTAAATCAGCTTTTATGTCACTTAGGAAGTCTTACTTGACTTCTGCAGATATATTTACTTCACTTTCTGTGTTCTTTATAACCATTGTGTGTGTGTGTGTGTGTATGTCTACATACCTAAATACACATACACATGTATACCTATCTTATATATAGTACTTACCATTTTGTGTTTTATTTACTTGGCTCTTTCCCTCTGATAAACTGTGAACTGTTTACCATGGTAATTATGTCTAACTCATCTTTATTTTCCTAACTCCTATTATGGTTCTTGGAACATAGAAGGTGCATTGAAAATGTCAGTTCAAGCAACATTTATAAAAATGCTAAGGGAACAACATAGATATATTTAACTATAATGTGCTTACTAAAGTCAAATTGTATTGTGTATAAAATACTAGTAATTTTAGATCTGTAAAACTAATTTTCTGAGATTTTACTCATTTCAGTGCTTTGTGTTAAACACTTGCAGTAATTATTGTCAGAGCGTATTATGATTTCAGGATATATCTCCATAGCAGAGATTATAGTCTATACTTGATAGTAGTTAAACTGCTTCACCTGTCGTCAGGCCCAAATATCACTAGATGATGTCCATGTTTCTTTTTTCACTCTTGTCTGGTAGGTATACATTCCGATAGACTCTCTTGCCCACATCACTCCCGGCATACACACTGGAACCCTCTTCACTACCCTGGCCCCACTCATACCAGTAGAGCGTAAACACCTGCCTTTAGTTTCAGCTCTTCTGCTCTCATCTGTTTAATGACTATCAAGCCAAAGAGTGATATGCTGTGACTTAATTTATTCACTTAGGATTTTTATACAGGAATTTAAAATACACAGAATAAACATCTGTGTTTCTTTCCCCTCTCCTCCCAGCCTTTTTGAATATTCCTCTTGGACTATGCCACAGGATAATTTTTCAATTGAATAGAAGCATTAAAGTATCTATAATTTTTAAAAGGAAATGACTTCTGAAGTTAAAAGCATAGGGAACGTTCTGCAAGTCTAGGACCTGGGAAGCTACTCTGAGACCATGCTGTTGTCTGTGCAGTAACGTAATTATTATTAAGATTTTTGTTTGTGAAGATAACACGTGTAGGTAATAAAGTCAATCAGTGCACCAGGCTCTGCCTGTTGCTATGTTTGGAAACTTGCTGATAGCACCAGAAATATCAGTTCTTAATAGAAGCATCAGCCAAATTTCTAATCTTAATGAGTTACCTTTTATAAAATTAACCTGGGTATATTGGGGGCCAAGAAGTATCTCTACTAGCTCACTCAAACTCCAGGGAGAAATTAAAACAGAAGGAAACTAGTCATGCCACTGGTTGCTTGATACCATCACATGGCCTAGGTGACCTACAAGCCTTTAGATGGCTCCCACTAGGGGCCTCCAAATCACTGGGGACCTGAACTAGATGTCTGTGATGTCAGATATTACATACTCTTAGACATAATAGACCATAGTGAAAATGACTACAAAATTATGAGTTCAGGATCTGTGCAGGGCTGTTAGTTTTACTGTCTTTCTGTCCTAAGACTCTTTCCTGACTACTAGACAGTTATATTGCATAAGGTTTCCATAAGGTATCCAGGTAGATAGAACAGCACAGTGGGTAGGTGTGAAGAAAAAAGAAAGAGAACATGGCAACTATGGCAGATAGGCCAAATTGTAGGTTGGAGGAATTGTGTTTTTCCATCAACAATGATTGATACCAAGCTTGAGTTTACCTAGGCACAGGAAGATGAGTCATGTATAAATTCCTGATGGTCCCACTCTTTCATACAAAGTCTTATCAGAAACCATTGTTTATGCTTTTAAATGTTACAAATGTTTCTATAGCTAGGTAAAATAAAATGATCTGAGAATTATTTTGAATAGAATAAAAGTGTTTTCTTGCTATTTTCATTATGTCATGGTTAGCACACTTGACCCTGTGACTGTGTTGTGTTTTTTCCGCTAGTGGCCTGACAATCGCCATGCTCCTCAGTTGGCTGTTTCTACTACTCCTGAGGTTCATAGCTGGATTCCTCTTCTGGATCTTCGTATTGGGTGTGCTTGGAATTATAGGCTATGGTAGGTATCACCCCTCATAAGGTCACCAAATATCAAAATTACCTTTTTCTTTCCAGTTGCCATTATCAATTGCCAAAAAGTATTTTCTTGCAGTGAATTTTTTTATCCTTTCCTTCCCTCAAAAGTGTTAAATTGAGAAATATTACTTAAGTTTGCATATATTTTCTCTATAACTTTTTTCTTCTTTATTTTTTAAAATTCTTTATTGTTTAAAGTATTACATATAGTGTTACACATGTCTCCTTTTTCCCCCATTGACCTCTCCTCGGCCACCCGCACCCCCCAGCACATGCCCTCACCGCCCTAGTGTCTGTGTCTATTGGTTATGCTTATATGCTTGCATACAAGTCCTTTGGTTGATCTTCTTTTACGTTTCCCCCCGCCTTCCCTCTGAAGTTTAACGGTCTGTTTAATGCTTCTCTATCTCTGGATCTATTTTGTTCATCAGTTTATGTTGTTCATTATATTTCACAAATGTGAGTGAGATCATGTGATATTTTCTTTCTCCAACTGCCTTATTTCACTTAGCAAAATGCTTTCCATGCCCATCCATTCTGTTGTGAATGGTAAGAGTTCCTTCTTTTTTTACCACAGCATAGTATCCCATTGTGTAGATGTACCACAATTTTCTAATCCACTCATCTGCTGATGGGCACTTAGGGTGTTTCCAAATCTTAGCTATGGTGAATTGCGCTGCTATGAACATAGGGGTGCATATGTCCTTTCTGATTTCTTGGGATATAGTGGGATTACTGGGTCAAACGGGAGTTCCATTTATAATTTTTTGAGGAAACTCCATACTGTTTTCCATAGTGGCTGCACCAGTCTGCATTCCCACCAGCAGTGCACGAGGATTCCTTTTCTTCACATCTTCGCCAGCATTCTTCTTTATCTTGAAAAAAAAAAGTGTTTTTAACATGTTCTACTCTTTATCACTAGCAGCCTTTGGTGTCATGTCTTGTGGGTATTACAAAGGAAATAAAAAGATCCTTCTTAGGTTAATGAAAAACATTTCAGACAACTTATTTTATTCCTTTAATTTTTCTGTTTGATCAAAGGCCACATCTGCATAGTTACAGAAGTGTGATCTAGTTTTCCCTTTCAATTTAGTACCTTTAATCCAGGCACTGTCACACATTTTAATAATTGGCCAGCACACCATTATGAGGCATCCCTCTCTAGAGCAGTGGTTCTCAACCTCTGGCCTTTTAAATGCAGTTCCTCATGTTGTGACCCAACCATAAAATTATTTTTGTTGCTAATTTATAACTGTAATGTTGCTACTATTATGAATCGTAATGTAAATATCTGATATGCAGGATGGTCTTAGGCGATCCCTGTGAAAGGGTCATTCGACCACCAAAGGGGTCGCGACCCACAGGTTGAGAACCACTGCTCTAGAGGCAGGTATTCTGAATTACACTTATTAGATAGTTAACTTTATTTCAAGGTTGAAATCTAACCACTGACTCAATCCCTCCAAAAGGAGTACAATGTGACATTAAAAAATAAGTGTCAAAGTCTCTCCCAAGGAATAGTATGACACTCATGACAGCTTCCTTTCAGTCCTCTAATAAATGCATGGGCCAATATATGAATGCTTGGGAGGTTTCTATTCAAAAGAAAAATTTCCCCTACAACACCATTTGGACTGAAAAGCAGTTTATGGTAGCAGACACCAAAATAACAATTTCCTGTTTCTGTCACTCAAAGAAGAAGAGTTTTACACATATCAGTTTAAGGAAAGCGGTTGAACCTTAGGACCCAGCAATTCCACTTCTGGATATTTATCTGAAGAAATCCAAAACACTAATTTGAAAAGATATATGCATCCCTATGTTCATTAAAGCATTATTTACAATGATATGGAAGCAACCTAAATGGCTATTAATAGATGTTTGGATAAATAAGATGTGATACATGTATACAATGGGATATTACTTGGCCATAAAAAAGAATGAAATTTTACTATTTGTGACAACATGGATGGACATAGAGGGTATTACACTAGGTGAAATAAATCAGACAGAGAAAGACAAATGCCATATAATTTCACTTATATGTGGAATCTAAAGAACAAAATAAGCAAACAAACAAAACAGAAACAGACTCATAGTTATGGAAAACCAATGGTTGAGGTGGGAGGTTGGGGAGCTTTGTGAAGAAGGTGAAGAGTTAAGATATACAAATTGGTAGTTACAGAACAGTCATGGGGATATAAAGTACAACACAGGGAATGTAGTAAATAATATTATAATAACTATGTATGGTACCAAGTGGGTACTACACTTAGGGGGATCACTTCGTAAATTTTATAAATATCTTAACCACTATGCTGTAGACTGGAAACTAATCCTAATATATAAAGAGCCAAGGTCTGTAACGTTCAAAATGACCGAACAGACAACTGAACGCCAGACTGCATGCGCAGCAGGCTCAGGTGGGCGGGGACTGGCAAGCAGGCTGAACTGCTGACCTCTTGGTCCCTCCTGGGTTGCGGGTGCTGCAGTGACCCAGCACTGACTGCTGCTGCCAAGGCGGGTGCGATGTGATTGGTTGGGGGGCCCCCACCATCGCCTCATGATCACCCTGCAGAGGGAGGCCCAGGCTACCCTGCTGGCGACCGTGGGTGGGGCCTCCCTCTGTGAAGCAATCAATCACTGGGCTCCTGGACTGCAAGAGGGCACAGGCGAGGCTGAAGGACACCCCCCCCCCCCCGAGTGCATGAATTTTGTGCACTGGGCCTCTAGTATAAAATAATATTGAATGTTAACTGTAATTGAAAAAGAAGAATGCTGTAGAATCCCCAGGTCCAGTAGGTAGCCTGAGTTCTAATCCCAGATCCATATGTATAACTGGGGAACTCTGGAAAAGTTTCTTAATGATTACAAGACCCAGTTTCCTTATCCATACCATCGTTGCAATGATATCTCCATTTCACAAGATTGTGAGGACTAAATGAGACAATGAGTATAAAGCTCTCAGAACAGTGCCTGGAACACAGTAAGCATTCTACTGCGACTATCCTCCTCTTTATCCTCAGTGAGGTTCTAATCATTTGAGTCTCTTTGGGTGTTCCCTATCTGCTCCTGCCATGCAGATGCCCATGAACAGGTGGGTCAGTTTGATGAAAGACCTGCTGTCCCTTCATCAGAAACTCCCCAGAAAGACTTTTGTTTAAAAGCCCTTTTTTGTGTTTCTGCTTGGAGCTCAAAGTAACCTCTGCTCTTTGCCAACATAGAGTCTGAGCATGTGATTCAATCACCCTTTTATTATCATCAGGAAGTGAAGGCCAGTAGAGTTTGCTATTGATTTCACTGACTTGTCTTAACAAGCAAGAAAAATCTGAAATTGGCGAGAGTCCAAGTTTGGCAATGACAAAAGGGAGAAAGATGGTCAATATATAAAAAGTGCAGGTAAAACAACCAATTTTAGCTCTCTATTGACTCCCTAGGTAGTGCTAACCCGGCAATTAATAGTGTTGCAAGTAAGCTTGAAGCTATTCATTGGGTGGAGAAATGTCCAACTAGGTTGGGAAGTGTAAGTAAGACAGTATGTAACTGACATCTGTTACTATCTCGGTAAATCAACTGTCAATATATCATGGGAAACCAACCATTTCCTACTGACAGCAGCCCATTTTGCTGGGATGGAGAACAATGTGGATGTGTCATACTGACCAGAGAAAAAGCCAGGCTATTTCTGGGCAAGTGCTTATGAATAGCAGAGGAACAATTCTCATTGGCCAGAACAAATTAAGAATTACACAGGAGAGGCCATATAACAACATTATTATAAGCACTGATTTGGAGATTGAAAAAGGCACAATTCCAGATTCATTACATGTTAACTATGTGAACTCTGCAAGTACGTAGTCTCTCTAATTTTTAGTTTTTGCATCTATATAATAGGAATCTGTATTAAATAAAATAGTGTACATAAAGTACTTAGAAAACTGCCTAGCACATAGCAATTATTCAATAAATAATATTGGTTGTTGTTACTGTGCATGAATATTATTGAGGAAGGAGGATTAAAGCCCAGGGGGTCATACCTTGAGAGAGAGAGATAGAGAGATAGAGATAGAAAGAGAGAGAGAGAGAGAGAGAGAGAGAGAGAGAGAGAGAGAGACAGTAAAGCAATAAAGCTATAGAAAAAGAAATAGGAAAACACTGCTGAGACTCACATCCACCATTATGAAGGAACTAAATAGTTTAAAGGTCTCTCTTGCTATGAAATAATGGCATAAAAATCATATTATACTAGAGGCCCAGTGCACAAAATTTGTGCATGAGGGGAGGGGTACCCTCAGCCCAGCCTGCACCCTCTCCAATCTGGGACCCCTTGGGGGATGTCCGACTGCCGGTGTAGGCTTGATCCCCGGTATAGGGCCTAAACCGGCAGTCAGACATCCCTCTCACAATCCAGGACTGCTGACTCCTAACTGCTCACCTGCCTGCCTGCCAGATCACCACTAACTGCCCCCTCCCCCTCCCCCCCGCCAGCCTGACCACCCCTAACCGCCTCTGCCTGCTGGCCTGATCTCCCGTAACTTCCCCCGCTGCTGGCCTGGTTGCCCCCAACTGCCCCCCTCACCAGCCTGGTCACCCCTAACTGCCCCCCTCGCTGGCCTGGTCACTCCTTACTGCCCCCCTCTGCCAACCTGGTCACCCCTAACTGCCCTCCCCCTGCTAGCCTGGTTGCCCCCAACTGCCCCCCTGCCACCCTGGTCGCCCCTAACTGCCCCTCTCGCCTGCCTGGTCACCCCTTACTGCCCCCCCTGCTGGTCTGGTCTCCCCAAACTGCCCCCTTCTGCCAACCTGGTCACCCCTAACTGTCCTCCCCCTGCTAGCCTGGTTGCCCCCAACTGCCCCCCTGGTCGCCCCAACTCCTCCCCCCACCCCCGCTGGCCTGGATGCCCCATGCAGCCTGCTATTCAGTTGTTTGGTCGTCCCTCACTAACCCCCCTGCCGGCCTGGTCACTCCACACAGCCTGCTGTTCAGTTGTTTGGTAGTCCCTCACTAACACCCATGCCAGCTTTGTCGCCCTACACAGCCTGCTGTTTAGTCATTATTGTTACTGTGATGGTGTCCTGGACAATTTGCATATTCCTCTATTATCCTATCTAATAATAGCCAAACATGGTAATTGACCATACCTTCGCTATGCCTCCCATGGGCTAATCAGTGAGTTATGCAAATTAACCACCAACAAAGATGGCAGCTAATTTGCATACTGTAGGCAGGGTGGGACAGCTCCAGCCTCCAGCCCGAGCCGCCATCCAGGCCCCTGTGGGCGACCCCATAAGCCGCTTGCCTGCCACCCGGGACCGGATCCGTCCCCAGCCCCAGGCACGCCCGCCCTGCAAGCCCCAGGAGCCGCCTGCCTGCCGCCCGGTACCTGATCTGGTCCCAGGCTGCTGGCAGGCCCTGGAAGCCCCAGAAGCCTCCAGATATGGCAGTAACTCTATCAGTAAGCACTCTGAAAGTCAGTGGCATAAATGCACCAATTAAAAGACAGATTATGAGGGTGAATCAAAAACAAAACCCACTTTAAATATAAAGACACATATAGATTAAAAGTAAATGAATTAAGCTTCAGCCTGTTTTTCTCAGTGGATACAGCATTAGCCCTTGGACTGAAGGGTCCCAGGTTAGATTCCAGTCAAGGGCATGTACCTCAGTTGCTGGCTTGACCCCCAGTCCCTATCAGAGCATGTGTAAGAGGCAACCAATCAATGTGTCTCTCCCTTTCCCTTCACTCTCTCTAAAATTCAATGGAAAAATATCCTTGGATGAAGATTAACAAAAACAAAGTAAATGGATTAAGTAACATTAAAGAGATTATAAGAAAAATATATTCCAAAGTTTCTTAGTTGTATAATGGTTATGTTTAAATTATTAACACCTAAGAAATTGGGTGAAGGGTACATATAATATGCTGTAGTATTTTATAGGTTTTTTTACATGTATGAGATTATTTCAAATTAAAATATTAAAAAATTAAAAATTAAAAAAATATTAATTGAAATGTATCTGCATTACATGAAAAATCTCCTAATTGCTTCTAGCATAATTTATTAAATTGTGCTAAAATTTACAAGGGTTCAATTAAAAAATATCTTAATTCTAAATGATATAATAGAAAATATATAATAGTGCAGTTATAATCACTTATCTGAAAATAAAAATTTAAAGAAGTGAATTTAAAGAAGGGATTAGCCAAAGAAAATATATGCACAACCCATGGACACAAACAACATTATGGTGATGGCCAGAGAGAAGTGGGGGGCAAGAGCTGGGTAGAGGTGGCAAAAGGGGGGAAATAGGGACATCCTATATAATAGTAATAAAAGCTAATATGCAAATTGACTGAACGGCAGAATGGCCGGTTGCTATGATGCGCACTGGCCACCGGAGGTAGACGCTCAATGCAGGAGCTGCCCCCTGGTGGTCAGTGCACTACCGTATGGGGAGTGCCACTCAGCCAGAAGCTGGCTCATGGCTGGCCAGTGCAGAGGTGGTGGCAGGAGCCTCTCCCACCTCGTGGCAGCACTAAGAATGTCCAACTAATGGTTTAGGCCTGATCCCTTGGGGGCCTAAGCCTTTAGTGGGACATCCCCTGAGGGCTCCCTGGCTGCCAGAAGGATGTCTGACTGCAAGCTTAGGCCTGATCCCCCGGGGAGTGGGACTAAGTCAACAGGTGGACAACCCCAAGGGGTCCTGGACTGCAAATGGGCGCAGGCCGGGCTGAGGGGCCCCCTACCCCCGAGTGCACAAATTTTTGTGTACCGGGCCTCTAGTCCTATATAATAAAAGGCTAATATGCAAATCGACCAAATGGTGGAAGAACTGGTCGCTATGATGTGTACTGACCACCAGAGGGCAAACGCTCAATGCAGGAGCTGCCCCCTGGTGGTCAGTGCACCAGAAGCCAGGTTCACAGCTGGCAAGCACAGCTAAGGATGTCCAACTGCTGGCTTAGCAGGAGTGGGCCTAAGCCAGCAGTCGGACATCCCCTGAGTCTCCCAAACTGCGAGAGGGTGCAGACTGGGCTGAGGGACCCCCTTACCCCCTGAGTGCTTGAATTTCATACACTGGGCCTCTAGTTAGTATAGATTGTTTTATATAGTGTATTGTTTTGATGAGCTTACAGGAAATAAAGGAAATCCCCTAAGGAAAATAAAATCTGTAAGTCTCTGGCCATCCAAAAATTCTATGACTTCATCTCCTGCTATTCTCCCTTTTACTCAGAACACCCATCCACACCAGCCTTCTAGCCATTTCTTTAACACACTCCTACCTTTGGGCCTTTGCTCTAGCTATACTCACTATTTGGAACTTGTCCCTTATCTCCAATGGCTAATTCCATTGCCTCCTTCAAGTGTTTTCTCATATCTCTTTTCAAAATGTCTACCTTACTAATATTCCAATTTGTACTCCTGTCCTATCAGGATACTCTCAATCCCCCCTGTACCTGTTTTACTTTTTCTTTTCTCATAGCAAATATCACTTTCTAATAGATAATCACTTAAGCTGTAAGCCTCAGGCTAGCAAGAACCTTTGTCTGTTTACTTTGTCTGTTTATCGCCAAAGCTTAGAATAGTGCCAGTGCACTGTAGCTGCTCAATTGACATTTGTTGAATGAACAAATAAAAGAATGTATGGCCCAGCCCGGTTGGTGTGGTTCAAAGCTTGAGTGTCAGTCCAGGAACCAAGAGGTCACTGGTTCGATTCCTGGTCAGGGCAGATGCCCAGTTTGTGGGCTTGATTCCCAGTAGAGGGGTGCAGGAGGCAGCCAATCGACAATGTTCCTTTCTCATCAATCCTTCTATCTCTCTATCCATCTCCCTTCCTCTCTCTCTAAAAATAAATAAAAATATATTTTAGAAAATAATAAAAGAATGTATGACTAGATATGGATGTCTCTTTCCTTACTCTCCTTGGTATAATTAGAGCTTCTTATATCTATGAATTTATATATTTCATCAGTTCTAGAAAATTCTCACCCAATAACTTTCAAATATGACTGATATATATTAGGGCCTACTCAAGCTATTGTCTATCCCTCTTAGCACATGATCATATTTTGTCCCTGTGCCACATTCTGCTCTATTTTGGGTAATTTCAGTTCAGTAATTCTCTAATTTGCTATTTAATTTATCAATTTAATTTTAATCTAACAATTAATTATTTTATTTTGAAAAGTTCTACTTAGTTCACCTTCTAGTCTAGTCTTATCTCTCTCTCTCTCCCCTTCACTTTATATCTACAAAAAAAAAAAATATCTGTTTGTTTATAGTTAGGGGTTCAAAAAGCTGTGTGTGGTGTTGTGTTTCCCCCCCCCCCCATTATTTCTGGGACATTTCCAATGGACCTAATCCAGACCCAGTGGTCATTAAAATTAGTGGACCTCTTAACTCTATTTTCTTTTTACTGCCACTTTATCTAGACCATTTAAACCTCAGAGGGAAGGTAGGGGAGGGGAGGGGTAAGGGGGAGAGATCAACCAAAGAACTTGTATGCATGCATATACACCTAACCAACGGCCACAGACACCAGGGAGGTGAGGGCATGAGTGCGGGGGTTAGGGGAGCAATGGGGGGGATGAGGACACATATGTAATACCTTAATCAATAAAGAAATTTTAAAAAAAGAAGTCATTATAGAGTCTAAAATATAGAGTTTGGGAGAAAATATGGTTAGTCCCTGTTTGCCTTGCCTAGACACAAACTTTGATAAGAATATGCTTTAGATGTTCCATGAAGACATGACTTCACTATAAAAAAAAAATTTGAAAAGGGCTTTTTTTTTTTTTAAATTTGAATGAATTTTTAAATTTGCCTTTTAGGTTGATTATATATTCACATGCTTCAAAGTTCAAAAAGTATAAAGTTTATACAGTGAAAATTTTCCTTCTCATTCTATTCTATGGTCACTAAATTTCTCTTCCTGCAAGCAAAAAATATTATATTTCTGTGTATCCTTCCAGAGGGACTTTATGTGTGTACAAGAAAAAATATATATAAATTGTTCTTATTATACAACTTATAGCAGACATTTTGTCATTTTGTACCTTGCTCTTTTCACCTAACAAAAGATCACAGAAATTATTTAATATCATTAGACATTCTCCTCTTTATATGGGAATATGGTCTTCCACTGTACAAGTATACCATAACTTATTTAACCAGTCCCTACTGATGGGCATTAAGGTTGTTTCTAGTCAATAGGACATTTAAAGCCAAACAAACACAGAAAACTCTGATATTGAATATAGTAGCATATTTAGACTATTAGACCAACATAAAATATTTACTATATAAATATGAATCTTGCCTTTGTAGAACTAACCATGCTGATCAAATACATGTAGATGTGTTGTAAGTGTATAACTTATGTTTCAGAAAATAACATTTTATATTAGTCTTTTTTTCCGTCTTTTTCAAGGAATATGGCACTGTTACCAGCAATACAGGAATCTTCAGGAACGCCCCAATTCTCACTTAACTATATATGACCTCGGAATTCAGACTGATATAAGCATGTACTTACAACTGAAACAAACATGGTTCGCATTTAGTGAGTGGATTTTAAAAAGTGGTTTTGTTAAAATTGTAATAATGAGAAAGCATATTTTCGTCTAAAGGAAAGCTTGGGTTGGTGTAACCTGTTGAACGCACTTATCATTAATATCATTAAAGTAAATGTGTTTATAATTCTACTAGCTACAGTAAATGGAAAAGTCATTGAGTGGAATTTATCATATAGTTTAAGGAAACATTATTTGACAATGATTTCAAGTTTTTGCCTTTAACTTAAAATGCTTTGGATGTGGATGTTTATAGTCATTAACCTGATATTCAAGAAAGGTATTTGAAAAGGAAACAAATGCTTGATTTTTCAAACTTGTTTTAAAAAAAAGAAAAAGGGGATAAAAATAAAATTTTTATAACAGGAATTTTAAACTATTTATTATATGAATTGGAATAATAAGTAAATAAATTTGTATTTTGAACTATTTATTCAGATTATCAAATTCATTAAGGGTCATATTAACAAAATTTTAAAACAAGATGATTTCAGAGATGGCTTTAAACCTATATTCCTAGAATGGTTTTATTATAATATTCTTTGCACTTCAAGATTCATGTGCTTTCATCAAAAATTTTTTAAATTCTCTAATTGCATATTGCTTTAAAAGAAAATTCATCTTTATATTGTTGAAGTTTGAAAGCCAAGTAAGAAATGGTCAAGGAAGCTTGGTAATGGAGCCCAGGGGCTCAGAGGGGTCAGTGTCTTGGTGGGGCATCCTGATTCCAGGTCTGGGTCCCATCCCATAAATTTGATTTTGCCATGCCACCTAAAAGCCATTAGGCTTTTGTATAGGCTCACATAGTCGCCAGAGTGCCATTTTATTTATTTATACTTTTAGGTTTACACTATTTTTTTTACACTCTCCCTGACTGTCTTGGACACTACTTTCCTGGGGTCAAAGCATATGGGTCCAAGATTGCTAATGAGGAGCTTTTTTAGCAGAAGGCCTCAGATAGCTTTGAGAGCTGTCTCCTTCAGGCCCATGCCAAGCTTGATGACCTGGCCCTGCTGCACAGAAGCCCCCACCAGATTCCTTTGTCTACCCAATGGAATTGTTCTCTTTTCCTTGGTCTTGGTCTTATTTCATTATTTATTTTTATTGATTTCAGAAAGAAAGGGAGAGAAAAAGAAACATCAATGATGAGAGAGAATCACTGATTGGCAGCCTCCTGCACACCCGACATTGGGGATTGAGCCAATCTTGGATTGTGTTAGGAAATAGTTGTATTTTCATTTTTACTATTAATCATCCTAGTGCCCAGGCATGTGCCCTGACCAGGAATCAAACCATGACCTCCTGGTTTATAGGTCGATGCTCAATCACTGAGCCACACTGGCTGGGTTGTTCTCTTTTCCTTGGTCAGTGCTGGATCAGAACACCAAACCCTTGCTCTTTGGCTTCCCATTTCTGGCTCTAATCACACTAGTTCTCTTCACATAACATACCCATTTTTTTTCAACTATTTTGCCGAAGAATTGTTTCATTTATAGTCATTTTTAACTGTAAAAATCAGACATCTTGGAATTTACATCCCCATCTAATCACTTTCCCTGAATTTGAAGTGATTATATATCTCCTCAGCAACCCACTTACTGTTAGCTATCATTTCTAAAGATGACAAATCTCATCCATTATGTATTGAAACCCTCACATGAATCTTAAGTTACAGGTTCTGTGGTCCTCCCACTGCTGTCCCTTAAGGACCTCAGCACAAATATCATTGACTTTATCAGAATCTGCTATTGGAAAATTAGGAGATGGACTTTGAGGAAAATACAGAGCTTGCTTTTATTTTCAAGTCTAGAAATGCTAAGTTTTCCTCAAATGAGCCTCAGCTTTCATAATCCAATGATCAGATATTAATTGATGACTTGTGTTTGGACAAAGTTCTAGGTGCCAGAGACAAGTGCATACATTTGATTATATGAATTGACAGAAACAGTTATACAAACAATAATATAATTCTTATGAATCTTAGATTGTGTTAGGAAACAGTTGTATTTTCATTTCTACTGTTAATTATCCTAGTGTCCTCCTCTGTGAAGTTATAATTATACCAGCTTCTCTATAGGGTCTCAAAAAATTGTGTTTATATTGTTTTTTCTCATTCAAACACAAGGAAGGAATGTATTATATAAATCCAAAAGACAGTTAAATTTCTCTAATATAACCATTTTGAACATGTAATTTCATAAAGGTAGAGTTTAATATGCAGTGTTCTTATCAATGCAATTTCGACTATAAAGCAATTCTGGTAGATCTCATATTCTTAAGTTTGTCCAAAGAATATAATGATTTTAGCTTATTATGGCTATACTCCACAATTCTGGGCTCATTTTTCTATTTTAAGAGAATCAAATGTGCATGAAAACATCAATACACAGTTTAACTAAAAATGATTCATTACTGAGATATTCCCACTTACTTGGAAATACTAAATGATATGTGATGTAACATCAGAATATTAGTGGTATAAGAGTAGGATAAAATAATGAGTGCCCTGTCAGTGGAGAGGTGTTCATGCATCAGCAGAATAATTCTCTAGGAAGTGTGTTATGGAATAGATTCTTTCACAGGTGGAAATTTTAATTAACTTTCCATTACGTTTCTTTTGTAATTTCAGATTGCTATTAACAGTGATATATTTTCTTAATTTTAAGATCATACCTTTTCAATTTTAACATCTCGGAAGTCAGGATGCATCTTATAATTAATGAATAGATGTTTAATGATGGATTTCTTTACTTTTCCTAAAAAGATATTACTAAATTAAAGGTATGTTTTAGAATTGAGGAAGTATAGTAATTAGGACTATTTGGCTTCAAATAAAAAGAAAGTAATTCAAGATAGCTGAAAATAAAATAAAATTGGAGCAAGCTAGGGCCAAGGCAGAGGTATTTTTATAAGAATGTATAAGTATCTTGCCAAACTAAAAAATAAAACAGAAAGATGATTTCAAGTGTACCTAGATCCAGGAAACAAAAACCAAAAAAGAACCCAAGATTTCTTTCCCCCTCCTCTCTCTCTCTGTCTCTACCATACACTTTATTCTTTCTTTGCAGATTTATTTACCTCACATGAAGATAGTTTTGACATCGTTTATTAAGTTTGCATAACTCTTAGTTCAAGAAGTTTATAAACTAACTCAAAACTGACCTAGAATATCTTAGTCCTAATTCTGAGACTTTTATTAGATGGACTGTGTTTAAAACTTGATACCATCAACGGTGGTCATGTGGAGTCACAGAATAAAAATGTGGGCAGCCACAAGCCTGCTATATAAATCTGCAAGGTCAATTAATTAAGAGGCATTGTGCCCCAGCCAGTTTGGCTCAGTGGATAGAGCCTCGGCCAGAGAACTGAAAGGTCTCAGGTTTGATTCTGGGCAAAGGCACATACTTCGGTTATAGGCTTGCTCCAGGGCCCAGCGGGGGCCCGTGCAGGAGGCAACCAATTTATGTGTCTCTCTCACATCGATGTTTCCCTCTCACTGTCTCTCCCCTCCCTTCCACTCTGAATGGGGGAAAAATATCCTCAGGTGAGGATTAGCAACAACAACAAGAAAAAGAGGCATTGTGAGCAGGGCAGACAAAAAGTTTCTTCTCTTACGCAGTGAAGTAAAAACGGGGTGAGGGTGAAGATGAGGGTGAGGGTGAGGGCAGGATTGGGGGGATGAGCGGACATTGGGGGGATAAGGACACATTTGTAATATCTTAATCAATAAAGGGGGAAAAAACGTGAAACATTTAAGAGTTGCCTAAGGCAGCCCTTCCTTCCTTCCATGCCTGTTTTCCCATTTCTACAAATGGCACGAAATGTTTCCATACATAAAGTCTGTCCGGTTGAGTTGTTCAAACTTCAGCTAAAGGTTTTCATCTAGATTTCTTAGCATTTCTTCTGGGTTTTGAAAGTGAATTTCTAAGATTGGCGGAAACAATGAAGTGTCTGAGCTGGCAGAAATAACCATGAAGCTCAGTCCTAAATTCTGTAGAGGAAGTGTGTTTTGGGGATTGATCTGTGCTGCACGCTGACTTCTTTTTCTGTTTAAAGTGGTAATCCTCAGCATCCTCGAAGTGCTTGTCATCCTCCTGCTGATCTTCCTGAGAGACCGGATCCGCATCTCCATCGCCCTCCTGAAGGAAGGGAGCAAGTAAGACCCCGACGGAAAAACTCGCCTAGAGTGTATCTGTCAGCCCAGCCAGGCACTGCCTATTGTGTAGCTGCCCCAGACTAATTTCCCTTTAAGAAGACTTGTTAAAGAAATTTGCTTTCTCTTTAAGATGACTTGTTTGAGATCAGACAGCCAGTTATTAAAAGGTCATGCTAATATGTCCTTTAATATTTCCTAAAACTTCAATTATCATGGGGTAAAGTAAGGTTAAAACCTGTCTAGTCTATATATTAGCACGTTTTTAAAACACCAAATATATGGCAGGAGAATAGCATATATGAAACTAGGCAATAAAGTGCTATGTAACAGTTAGTTATATTGCATGTTGTATTCCCATACTGAGTCACATGTTAATATTAATGGCTGAGATCATTTGCAGAACTTTAAACCACCATTATTCTAGAAAATCAATTACATACTATTACCATTGCCATATGAATGACAAAATTTGCCAATAGAAAGAATAATTGATCCTAGAAGTACTAGACTATATATTTTGTACCAACACCTCTTAATTTGGAAAACCTTTATACTCAGAGCCATTTTTATTTTTAAAATGCTATAAAATAAACACTAAATTTTTCATAAATTCATGCTGGGATATAACACCTACAGTTTCCAAACTATTCCAAAAGGTGACTTGAGAATAGTACTTTAAACTTTTGAATGATGCATGGAAGAAACAAAGAAAGCCCACAGATCATACTCTCTATTTAAGATGATGGAAACTACGTTGTTAATGACTCAGGACCAAATTATCAAACTTGCAGTTTGATAAATTAAACTTTTTCTCCTTCCCACAATAACAGAAGCCCTATCATTAGTCACTGAAAACTACTGATTGTCTGGATTTTTAAGATAATATGATATTGTGCAATTCACTGTTACTGCCCCCCCCCCCCGTTATGCCTCTTAATGTGTATATGAGTGTGTGTGTGTGTGTGTGTGTGTGTGTGTGTGTGTGTGTGTGTGTGTTAAGGGGCCAATACCACTGTGACAGGTTGATAGTTCAAGGGGAAAAAAGAAAAAAGAGTTGGAATAAATGTGTGTGAGTATACAGTAAACAAAGGGATGCTCAATAATTCACTGAACCGTAGTGTCCGAAGAAAGGAAACAACACTGTAGCTCAACCAGTGATGTGGAGAAGGTAATAGATTAAAAAAGAATCTAAGATGTTTCAATTCATTAGGAGTGGAAATAGTTCCACCAGAGTTCTCAGTGGCTATAGCAAACACTGTTGGATTTAATCCAATGTCATATACTGCAAAGATCGCTCGAAAGTAGTTAGGGACAGGGCAACTAGTGACCATTTCAGAAACTATGTCTTATGAAGAAATAGCAAAAGAATGATTATCCTGCAGAATAAAAGGATGAGTTACTTGGGAGGAGTACTGTGTTAAAAGGTGGCCATTTCTTCTCCAGAAGGCAGTGGATGTGAATTACAGGCAGGCAGATAAGGAAGCATTTTCTAATATGTTGGTAGGAAGTAGAATAAATTGTGTCATATACAAGTAATTTGCTAAAAGTGTGGTCACCAGGGGCTTATGACCATATTTTGAGAGAGTAAAAAAAAGATTCCTGAATTAGGGAGTGATTCACACATTTGATGAGATGATTGTCAAAGTCCTCTTCAATTTTAAAAATCTAAGAATCTAATCAAAAGGAAGAAATGTTATGATTGTAATATATCAAATCTTTATGAGAAATAAACAAAGAAGAGAAAGTTTGGGGAAATTTGATCAGGATTCAAATATGAGCATTAAAATAATGTCTCTAACTTACAATCAATCAATAAAATTTAAAAACCAACTAAGAATATACCAGCATGATCAGCCAATGAGAGTTACTAGTTATGACCACGGTTCTTAGAATTAATCGAGTCTAAGTCTTACTTCTAGTTCTAACAAATAAAAATTTATTAAGAGAAATTATAACACTGGATCATTTTGAATTTCAACTATTTGTTTTATTTCAGAGCCATTGGATATGTCCCTACTACATTAATTTATCCAGTTTTTACTTTCTTTTTGCTCTCAATCTGTATTTGCTACTGGGCGGTGATAGCAGTGTATCCTTTGGTAGTTTACCAAGTTGAACCTCAGGTCACCCCACTATTCAGGAACCAGAAGTTTAGTGGTTTTCATCCTGGGAAGATTAGGAACATCCTAAAGAAATAACTGATTATTTTTTTCTGCCAAACTCTGAAAAGGTGTCAGTGTCCCGATTGCATTTCCTCTTTTATAGGTCAGATGGTCAATTTTGTTTTATTTTGTCTTCACATATCATTGGTGATAACCTTAAAAAGCTTCTATATATTTCACTGTTTTTAAGAGGCCTCTCAGTGCAGCTGATCCATGTTATATTACTCTAGGTCTGAAGATTGGATTAATTATTAAAATGTTAGAACTTATTTGAAGTTAATCTTTCAAAAGATATTTAAGTTACTTGCATTTTTTTTTCATGTCTATTTATTTTCAATTTACCAGCAAATAATTTATCCTTAATAGAGTTTATTCAGTTACTTGGCTACATCAGGGACACCCATATACAAAGTCATAACCCCAGAGGGGAAATGTAAATATGAAAATAGAACCTGTGACCCAGATGTAAGTAAAAGAAACTCTCTCTTCTTTAACTTCCATACAGATCACTACTACATTTCACCTAGCAGTTGTACGAGTCATCCTGAAATAGAGACCCTGTATAGTGAGAGGGGTCACTCTGGAGAAGGAGAGAGTGGGTCAGGAGTTAGCAGGAGAACACTGCAAAAGGTGGGGGCGGGGGGGAGGAATAGAAGGAAAGCTCTATTATTTCCTGATCTCATTTGTTTTATCATATACCCAAGAAGCAGGTATTGTCAACAACCTCACTAATAAATGTGAAACTAAAGGGGGTGAAGAGGGATGAACATAAGATAGAAAAGGAAAGATACTTTTCAGAGCTCATTAAAGGATTCTATAAAGTGATGTGATTGAAAATAGGAACAACAGCAGAAGCTCATGGAAAAAGAACAGGACATGCAACTGGAGGTGGGGGTGGGGGTACACAAAACAAAAGGCAGGGCAGGTTTTATCTTACAATAGTATTTAATATTCTATGTTGTTTTTTCTCTGAGTGCAGATTTTTAACACAACGGAAATGTCCAGAGCTTGCCCTGGTGCTCAGTGTAACTTTGCTTTCTATGGTGGAAACAGCCTGTACTACCAGTACATCTCTACCTTCCAGATATTCAATCTATTTATCTTTCTCTGGCTGATAAACTTTGTCATTGCATTGGGTCAGTGTGCCCTTGCTGGTGCCTTTGCTTCTTATTACTGGGCCTTGAGAAAACCTGATGACATCCCACCATATCCACTTTTTACTGCGTTTGGACGAGCCATACGGTAAGTACCACATTGAGCCCCACGTCTATTTTCCAAGTTATATTTAATGTGCTTATAATTCAATCTTGTGCTTATCATTCAAGAGGTAAGATACAAGTGAGCTCAAAAGTATGATTCAAGATTTATGGATGTTCATTGGCACTGTCTGGTTTTATAGCCACAACTTTATACTCCCTGCCCAGGCCACTATTCCTATTTTTCTAAAAATAATAGGTTACAAGAGAGAAGAGGTAGGGGGGGAAACCATATTAAAGATTAAGGATTAACTTGGCTCTGTCTCTCCATTGCTCACATCAAACATCTTATATTTTGCTGACATGCTATTAGTATCATTTTTGTAGATAAAGGGCAAAATATATATGTATGTTTTAAAACTCTAAAGCTTCACCAATCTCCTGGATAGGAGAATGTAAGACAGTGATGGCGAACCTCTGACACATGTGTCAGAGGTGACACGCGAACTCATTTTTTTGGTTGATTTTTCTTTGTTAAATGGCATTTAAATATATAAAATAAATATCAAAAATATAAACCTTTGTTTTACTATGGTTGTAAATATCAAAAAATTTCTATATGTGACATGGCACCAGAGTTAAGTTAGGGTTTTTCAAAACGCTGACACGCCGAGCTCAAAAGGTTCGCCATCACTGGTGTAAGAAGCTCTTTCCTATCAGTTCCCCTGCACATCCCTTTTACCTAAAAAACTGTTTAATTAACATCCTTTTAGTTAATAGTAAAGATATCATAACATTTACTCTCATTTTATCTTTGCCCAGATATCACACAGGATCTCTAGCATTTGGATCCTTACTTCTTGCATTAATTCAAATGTTTAGGATAGCCCTAGAATACTTGGACAAACGTATTAAAGGTAAGATTCCAGAATTCACCTTTTCTCAGACTTTCTGACTTTTATGAAGAGTATAGATTGGGCAGGTGGTTGCAGGAAACATGATGACTGTCACCAGGGTAGTAAGGATGGAGGTGGTCAGATTGGGGATCTATTTGGAAGAAAAAGCCAACAGGACTTGCTGAAAGGTTGGGTATGGTTATGGGAAGGATGTGATGATATTTACTAAGATGTCAAAACCAGGAAAAGCAAATTTCAAAGAAGAGATTAAAAATTGTGTTTGTGACATGCTAATATTGAGAAGCATTCTGGAGTTGTCAGGTAGTTTCAGGTCTAGAGCTCAGGACAGGTTGGACTTAAAATATAAATATGGGAGTCATTGGCATAAATCTTCATACATGACACATATAGCTTATAAACATGTAAACTCTGTTTAGAATGCACTTTGAAAAATTATTAAATGCCAAAACAATCTGAAACAGAACAACAAATTTGGAACATTTACATTTTCTGATTTTAAAACTTCATACAAAGCTACAGTCATCAAAACAGTGTGGCACTGGCATAAGGACAGACATATGGATGTGGACTAGAATAGAGAGCCCCAAAATAAATCCTCACATATAAGCCCATTCAATGGGGAAAGGACAGTTTTTCTCAACTACTGTTACTAGTAAAACTGGATATCTATATGCAAAAGAATTATTTTGGACCTTACCTTATATCACATAAAAAATATTTCAATCCAGGTCGGTATGGCTCAGGGGGTGAGCATCAACGCATGAACCAGAGGTCACCCTGGTTGGGGCACATGCCCAGGTTGTGGGCTCAATCCCCAGTGGGAGCATGCAGGAGGCTGATTGATGTTTCTGTCTCGTCGATGTTCCTATCTCTGTCCCTCTCCTTTCCTCTTTTTCTAAAATCAATAAAAACATATTTTAAAAAATATATTTCAAAATTGATCATAGACTTAAACATAAAAACTAAAAGTATAAGGTGGAGTCAAAGTATAAGGGGGCATCTGTAATAGAGTCAATGATTTAAAAGTGAGTAAAAACTCTTCGAAAAGAGCAAAGGAAGAAATCTTCATGACATTAGACTTGGTGATTTTCTTATATATGACAACAAAAGAAAAAACAAATTAGACTTCATCAAAATAATAAAGAAAGCATCTAGGACACTTTCAAGAGAGTGGATGATCCACAGAATGGGAGAAAATATTTGTAAATCATATACTTAGATAAGCCACCGATATTTAGAATATCTAAAGAACTTCTACAACTCAACAATACACCCAATTCAACATGGGCAAAGGATTTTTTAATTATATAAAGCTTTTTGAGCTTTACTAAGATATAATTGACCAATAAAATTGTAATATGTTTAAAGTCTACAACATGATGATTTGGTATACACATACATTGTAGAAGGATTCCCTCATTCAAGGTAATAAACACATCCATCACCTCACCTCACTATACTTACCTTCTTTTTTCTTTTTTGGTAAAAACATTTAAGTTCTTTTTTCTTAGCAAATTTTAATTGTTTGCCATGTTATACATTAGACCCTACGACCTTTATTCATCTTATTACTGAGAGTTTGCACCCTTTTACCACCCTCTCCCTGTTTCCTCCACCACTCAGCCTGCACCATTCTTTTCTGTTTGTATGAGCTCAACTTTCTTTTTTAATTTCACATATAAGTGATACCATGCAGATTTGTCTTTTTCTATCTGGTTTATTTTACTTAGCACAATGCCCTCCACGTCCATGTCTATTGCTGCAAAAGCGGGATTTCCTTCTTTTTTAAGGCTGAATAGTATTCCACTGTCTATCTATACCATATTTCCTTTATCCACTGATGCATCAAATGATAGGATTCCATATATAAGATATTGTAAATAATGCTACAGCGAACATGGGAGTGCAGATACCTCTTTGAGATAGTGACTTCATTTCCTTCAGATATATACACAGAAGTGGAATTGCTAGGTCATGTGGTCATTCTATTTTTAATTTCTAGAGGAACTCCATACTGTTTTCCATAGTGGATACACCAATTTACATTCCACCAACAGTGTACAGGGCACCCTTTCTTCCAAGTCCTCACCAACACTTATTTTTTTTGTCTTTTTGCCAGTAGCCATCCTAACAGGTGTGTGGTGCATATCTCAGTGCGGTTTTGATTTTCATTTCTCACATGATGAGTAATGTTGACTACATTTCCATTTACCTATTGGCCTTCTGTATATCTTCTTTGGAAAAATGTCTCTTCAGATCTTTTGCCCATTTTTTTAAAAATTGGGTTATTTGGGGGATTTTTGCTATTGAGTTCTTTATATATTTTGGACATTAACCCTTTATCATATATGTAGTTTCCAATTTTTCCCCCATTCCATAGGTTGCCTTTTCATTTTATTGATGGTTTTCTTTGCTATGAATAACTTTTTAATTGGAGGTAGTCCCATTTGTTTATTTTTGCTTTTGTTGACTTTGCTTTTGGTGTCACATTCAAAAAATCATTGCCAATACCAATGTCAATGAACTTAGGCCTATGTTTTCTAGGAGTTTATGGTTTCAGAATTACTTCCAAGTTTTTAATCCATTTTGAGTTGATTATTATGTATGAAGATAATGGTCCAATTTTATTCTTTTGTGTGTGGATATCTACTTACCTAACACCATTTATTGAAGATGCCATCATTTCTGCATTGTATGTTCTTCAGTCCTTTGTCAAAAATTGACCATATATGCATGAATTTATTTCTGCTCTCTCTGTTCCATTCATCTATAGGTTAATTTTTCTATCACTACTACACTGTTTTAATTACTATCATTTGAAATTAATAAGTATAATGCCTTCAGCTTTGTTCTTTCTTAATTGCTTTGGCTATTCGAACTCTTCTGTAGTTTCATACAAATTTTCGAATTTTTTTTCTATTTCTGTGAAAAATACTATTGGAATTTTGATAGGGATTGCATTGAACTTGTAGATTGCTTTGGGCACTATAAACATTTTAACAATGCTAATTCTTCTAACTCACAAACATGGAATATTTGTTATTTATTTGTGCCTTCTTCAATTTCTTTCATTAATAATTTCCATTTTTTGATGCACAGGTCTTTTGCCTCCTTGTTTAAATTTCTTCTACATATTGATGAAATTGTCAAGAGAATTGTTTTTTTAATCTCTCTAGTAGTTGTTAATGTATAGAAATGTAGCTGCTTTTGTATATTGATTTTGTTTGCTGAAACTTTTCTGAATTTGTTTATGTTCTAATAGCTTTTTGGTGGAGACAGTAGGGGTTTTTTAATATAAAATGTCATGTGATCTGCAAATAAAGGCAAGTTTACTTCTTTCTTTCTGATTTCAATGCTGTTTGTTTGTTTGTTTGTTTGTTTATTTAACTTGCCTAATTGTTCTAGCTAGGTCTTCCAGTACTCTGTTGAATATAAGCGGGGGGGGGGGGGGGTGGGGGGGGGTGGAGTAGGTATCTTTGTCTTATTCCTGATCTTATAGGAAAAGCTTTCAGCTTTTCACCTTTGAGTGTGATGTTAGATGTGAGCTTGTCATATATGGCCTTGATTATGTTGAGGCCTACTATAACCAGTTAGTTTGTTAATATTTTGTCAAGGAATTGTGCATTTATATTTGTCAGGGATATTGGCCTATAATTTTATTTTCTTGTTTACTTGTCTGGCTTTGGTATCAGTATAATGCTGGTCTCACAAAACGAGTTTGGAAATGTTCCCTGTACTTCTACTTTTTGGAAGAATTTGAGAAGGGTTGCTGTTAATTCTTTAAAAGTTTGGTAAGATTCATGAGTAAAATCATCTAATTCTTTTATTTGTTGGGAGGTTTTAGATTTTTGAATCAAATGAAATTTTCTATTTCATTATGATTCAGTCTTGGTAGGTTGCATGTTTCTAGAAAGTTGTGTTCTCTAGGTTATCTAATTTGTTGATGTATAATTATTCATAGTAGTCTCATAATTTTTTATATTTCTGTGGTTTTAGTTGTAATGTCTCCACTTTCATTTCTATATTTGTCTTCTCTCTTCTTAATTAGTCTAGCTAATGGTTTGTCAATTTTGTTTATTTTTTTCAAAAAACCAGCTGTTCCCTTCACTAATCTTTCCTATTGTCTTTTTATTTGCTGTTTCATTTATTTACACTTTGGTCTTTACTACTTCCTTTCTTCTACTAACTTTGTGCTTAATTTGTTCTTCTTTTTCTAGTTTCTAGAAGTGTAAAGTTAGATTATTTGAGATCAGACTTTTCCTTAACACAGGTATTTATCGCTATGAACTTCCCTCTAAAACTACTTTGGTGCATTCCATCTACTTGATGTGTTGTATTTCCATCTTCATTTGTCTCAAGATACTCTTTGATTTTTTGTTTTATCTATTGATTGTTCAGTAGCATGTAGTGTAATCGCCACACATTGGTGAATATTCCAGTTTTTTTCTTGTTTTATACCACGGTGGTCAATAAAGATAGTTTATACGATTTTAGTATTTTTATATTTATTAAGACCTGTTTTGTGGCCTAACATTATCTGTTCTGGAGAATATTTCATGTGTGCTTGAGGAGAATGTATATTCAGCTGTGGTAAGATTGAATGTAATGTAAATGTCTATTAAATGCTTCTGGTGTAACATGTAATTTAAGTCTAATGTTTTATTTTTGATTTTCTGTCTGGATTGCTCTACCATTATTGAAATTGGAGTATTGAAATCCCCTACTATCATTATATTTCTGTTTATTTCTCCCTTCATAAGTTTATGTATTTAGGTGCTTCAATGTTGGCTATATAAATATTTACAATTTTATATCTTCTTGATGAATAGACTCCCTTTCACTGTGTCTTGTTACAGGTTTTGGCTGAAAGTCTATTGTGTCTAAGTATAAATACACCTTCTTTATTTTGGTTTCCATTTGCATGAAAAGCCTTTCTCGAATCCTTCACTTTCAGTCTATGTGTCTTTAAAGGTGAAGTAAAATTCATTCAGCCACTCTGTATTTTTTATTGGAGAATTTAGTCCACTTATATTTAAGTGTAATTCTTGATAGCTGTGAACTTACTATTACCATTTTGTTAGTTGTTTCTTGCTGCTTTATAGACTTGTGTTTCTCTCTTCCTCTCTTTTTTAAAAAAATATATTTTATTGCTTTTTTTACAGAGAGGAAGGGAGAGGGATAGAGAGTTAGAAACATCGATGAGAGAGAAGCATCAATCAGCTGCCTCCCGAACACCCCCTACTGGGGATGTGCCCTTGACCGGAATCGAACCTGGGACCCTTCAGTCTCTAGGCCGACGCTCTATCCAGTGAGCCAAACCGGCCAGGGTTCTCTCTTCCTCTCTTCCTTTGTGCTTAGATGATTTTCTGTCGTGGTATGCTCTGATTCCTTCCTCTTGATCTTTTTGTATGTAGTATAGGTTTTTAGCTTTGTGGTTATCATGAGGTTTACACAAAACATCTTATAGTTATAACAATCTATTTTAAGGTGATAACAAGGTAACTTTAAATACTTCAAACACATGTAAAAGTTCTACATTTTTACCCCCCCTCCACATTATATACTACAATATTTTTGATGTCACAATTTACATATTTTTATATTATGTATCAACAAATTATTATAAGTTTTACTTATTTTTATTACTTTGTCCTTTAACCTTCATACTAAAGTTGTAAGTAACTTTCCCACCACCATTACAATTTTAGAGTATTCTGATTTTAACTATATATTTTCCTTTAACAGTGAGTTTTATACTTTCACATATTTTTATGTTACTAATTTAGCACCCTTTTGTTTTATCTTAAATAATTCTCTTTAACAATTCTTGTAAGGATGGTCTAGAGGTGATGAACTCAGCTTTGGTTTGTCTGAAATACTCTATTTCTCTTTCAATTCTGAAGGACAAACACCGTCAGGTAGTATCTTGATTGACAGTTTTTACCTTTCAGTACTTTAAATATATAATTCTACTTCATTCTGGCCTGCAAAGTTTCTGCTGAATAATCTGCTGATATTCTTATGGGATTTCCCTTATAAGTAATGAGTTACTTTTCTTCTTTGTCATTAAATTTTAACTTTTGAAGATTTAACTTTATGTGTCTCTGTGAGTCTCTTTAGATTCATCTTTTCTGGTATTTTTGGGGGGCTTTCTGGATATGGATGTCTGTTTGTGCCCTAGTTTGGACAAGTTTTCAGCCATTATTTCTTTGAATAAGCTTTATGCATTTTCCCCTCCTTCTGGGATCCCTAGTACATATATATTGGTCTACTTGATGGTATCCCATTAAGTCTTTAAGCTAACTTAATTCTTTTCACTCTTTTTTTTCCCTCTTTTTGCTTCTCTGGATGGATTCCACTGCCTTAACTTTGAGTTTGTTGATCCTTTCTTTTGTTTGATCTAGTCTGATATTGAACCCCTCTATTGAATTTTTTAGCTTAATTATTATATTCTTCAGCCCTATGAATTCTGTTTGATACACTTTTTTTTTTTGTATTTTTCTATCTCTTTGTTGAAATTCTCACTTTGCTCATGCATTGCTCCCCTGACCTCAGTGAGCACTTTTATCACCACTATCTCTGCTTCATTAAGATCAGTTTCTGGAGCCCAGACAGTATTGCTCAGTGGTTGAGTGTCAACCTATGAAACAAGAGGTCATAGTTTGATTCCTGGACAGGGCACCTGCCTGGGTTGCAGGCTTGATCCCCAGTGTGGGGTGTGCAGGAGGCAGCCAATCAATTATTCCCTCTCATTATTGATGTTTCTATCTCTCTCTCTCTCCCTTCCTCTCTGAGAATATATATATATATATATATATATATGAGAGAGAGAGAGAGAGAGAGAGAGAGAGAGAGAGAGAGAGAGAGAGAAAGAGAGAGAGAGAGAGAGACAGTTTCTGGAGATTTATCTTGTTATTGTTTGTTTGAAATGTATTTCCTTATTTCATTTTTTCTTGACTGTTTTGGTTAATGTGCATTAGATGAAAAAGCCACCTCCCCCCTTATGTCAGACTGTCTCATATAGGAGATGAACGCTATCAATTAGCCCTGGTCAAGCTTCTGGTTCTCTTAAAACTGTAATTGTCCTAGCCACCATAGTGATTCTTGGTGGCTCCCAAGACCTGTAGGTGTCTCAAAGGTGGAGGATCATAGGTAAAACCTAGGTGCAGGCTGACTAGAAGCCAGGTGCTCAGACAGCAGCTGGGAAAGTATGCAGTTTAGCACCTTTCAAGGAGAAACTGGGAGGCGGGTGTTTTGCCTGCTCCCTCTGCACAGAGACAGGGTGTATAGCCATGGTGGTGGGTGTGGGGAGGGTGCTCTTGCACCATTTAAAAATTGCTTCTTTGTTTGCTATAGTCCTAAGGAGTCATGAATGCAAGACGTGTTGGCTAAAAGGGCCAGAAGAACTGGGAACCGGCCCTCGGGCAGCAGCCTCAAATGCTGTGGCACCAGGCATGTGTACAAGCAACTTCTAAAGAGATGTTGGTGACCGAGTGTTATAAATGCAGTGAGATAGAGACAGAAGGTGGTGGAAGTGCCTACCAGCTTCCACAGGCTCCATGGAGGATCGTAGTTAGCTCGTAGATGCATGCAGATTAGAAAGCCAGAACCTTGGGTCGCAGGTTATAGAGTATGCAGTCAGACCCCTTCCCCAGAAAGACAGAAATATAGGTGTCTTTGCCTGAGCTCTGTGTGCTATGCCCTGAGCAGATAGCCACAGTGAATATCAGCACATGTGCCTGTTAAAAACTGCCTCTCTGTTCCTATGGGACTTGTCCACACTAGCCTGTTGGCTTTCAGAGCTAAGTGTTTTGAGGTCCTGTCCCTTGGGTGGGAGCCTTAAAAGCTGGAATCCTAGACATGCTGTCCAAACCCTTCACTCCTCAGGAGAAACTGAGAATTGGATATATCATCCCAGTTGTATAGTATTGTGCAGAGAGTGGGGTGTATTGGGTGGTGTGCCTCAGCCTTTCCTACCCATTTCAGTGTGGGGTTTTCTTGGTTGTCTGATGTGTGTGAGTAACTGAGCTAACCTTTGGATTTCTCTCAGAGGAGATGACTACATGTATAGCTGTATATTCAGTGCATCTGTGGAAGGAGGGAAGTTCAGGGGCCTCCTGTATCATCATCTTGGTCTCACACAAAGAATTGGCACATACATTGCTCTAAACAAGGTTATATAAGTGGTTAATAAGCACATGAAAAGAGACTCAATATTAATTGTTTTGAAAATGCAAGTCAAAACCACAATGAGGTACCACTTCACAGCCATTAGAATGGCTACTGTTAAAAGATGGGATCTAACAAGTGTTTGTAGGGTGAGGATAAATTGGAAGTGTAGATCGCTGATGGAAATGTAAAATGGTGTAACCACCATGGAAAACAGTATGGCAATTTCTCAAAAATTAAAAATAGGATTTCCAGCTGATCAGCAATTGCACTTCTAGAGATATATACTCAAAAGAATTGAAAGCAGTGGCTCAAACATATTTGAACACCAATACTCATCGCAGCATTATTCACAATAGCCAACAGTAGAAACAAACCAATTTCATGAACAGATAAAGGATAAAGAAAATGTAATATACACATATAATGGAATGTTATCCAGCTCAAAAAAAAGAATGAAATGATGAATCTTAGAAACTTTATGTCAAGTGATATGAGGTATCTAGAAGAAGCAAATTCACCCTAGCTGGCTTGGCTCAGTGGATAGAGCGTCAGACTGCGGACTGCAGGGTCCCAGGTTCAACTCCAGCCGAGGGCACATGCCTGGGTTGTAGGCTCGTTCCCCAGTAGGGGTGTGCAGGAGGCAGCCAATCAATGATTCTCTCTCATCATTGATGTTTCTACCTCTCTCTCCTTCTCCCTTCCTCTCTGAAATCAATAAAGAAATATTTTTTTTTTAAAAAAAAGCATTTTAGAAGAAGCAAATTCATACAGACACAAAGTACAATAGAGGTAACCAGAGACTGGGAGAAGGGGAGAGCGAGGAGTTATTTTTAGTGGATACAGAGTTTCTATTTGATATGATGACAAGTTCAGGAAATGGATAGTGATGGTTGCACAACATTGTGAATGTACTTAATGCTATTGGATTGTACATTTAAAAATAGCTAAAATGGTAAATTTTGTATATATTATATTGCAACTTAAAAAATGTAAAGCCATTGAAAATTTTTTTAATTTATTTTTTGACTCAGAGAGTTTACTTGCAAATCATTAATAGATGCAAATATGTCCTTATAGATAACCAGAACAACATTGCCAAATTTCTACAACACTGCCTGAAATGCTGTTTCTGGTGCTTGGAAAAAGTGGTGAAATTTTTGAACAGAAATGCCTATGTTATGGTAAGTAGATTATTTTTTATTTACTAAACTTCTTTGCAAACCCAAACCCCATGTCTACATTTCCATCTCTAAAGCACTTTTAGATCATGCAGTTAAATTTATCACATCTATATATATAAAAGCTTAAGCGACCGAAAGATGTGCACTAACCAACAGGGGGCAGATGCTCAATGCAGGAGCTGCCCCTTGGTGGTCAGTACACTCCCACAGCCAACCTTCTGTTGCCAGCCAGCCTCCCATGGTCCCTCCCCCTGGCTGACCCCTATCAGCCCCAATCCGACTGGGTGAGACAGCCCCCCCATTGGCCCTGATCACCAGCCAGGCTGAGGGACCCCACCCGTGCACGAATTCATGCACCAGGCCTCTAATGTGGATATAAGAATTTGTGATTCTTATATGTGATTCTTATTTGTGAGCCTATGTGATTCAGGGCAATGTTTTCCTAGTTGAGATAGAAATTAGCTGCACTTCATTATCACCTTCAACATCTCTTTGGAGAGGGAAAATATTTATCTTGGAAATTTTAAAATGTGCTAGATTGAAAATGATTTTGTGTGTCTTTGATATAGTTTATTGAGAAGACAGCTTAGTCTATGTTTCACTCTGAGAAGAAAAGATCTTTCTAATTTTGCGTTTTTTATATTTTAAAGGAAGGGTCTGTTCCTTTTTTGTGTGAATCTTATGTTGAGATATGTGACAGTGCCTAACTAAATTTGTTTATTTCCTGGGGGAATATGGAGGCTTCTAAAGAAATTTTTAAATATAGGGGATCCAAAAATAAAATTATTTTAAAATTTAGCAACTACAGTCTAATGACACTTACTTATTCTCACAGTGACAAAGGGTCTGCAGCAATGCTTCAAGTAGTCATGGAGATTCAAGTAGTCATCAATATACTTCCAGTGAGAATGTTGTATTGAGGCTTTTCATCAGTCAATCAAGTGTGTGATTGATTTGAAAGGCACTGGGCTTCTGAGAGTAATTTTTGTTGTTGTTCATCCTTACCCAAGGATATTTTTCCATTGATTTTTAGAGAGAGTGGAAGGAAGGGGGAGAGACAGAGAGAGAGAGAGAAACATCAATGTGAGAGACACATTGATTGGTTGCCTCCTGCACACTGCAACCAGAGCTGAGGATCAAGCCTGCAACCAAAGTATGTGCCTTTGACAGGAATTGAACCTGGGACCCTTCAGTCCAGGGGCCAATGCTCTATCCACTGAGCCAAACTGGTGAGGGCTCTGAGAGTAATTTTTAATATGATCTCTACAACATTTAACCCAGTCAGCGATAAACCCCAGCCAAACACTTCAAAGACAGAAACTATTTCCTGAGATTTGAGAAAACTGTTTGAAGCTGTCTAATCCCCATAGAGTTTAATGGAATATGTAGCATCTGAAGCAGACAGACCTTATTGTCAACAAACCTGGAGTTGTGCAGAGTTGAGGACACATAGTTCCCATGCCTCCCACAAACCCAAATGTTGGAAAGAGAAATGAGAGTACATGGCTGTATGGGTGACAGAGAATTGATTCATTTTCCTGTTATTGGATTGTCTCTTGGTCTTATCAGGATTACTGACTCCAGAATAATAACTGTCTTCCTCAGATTGCAATATATGGCAAAAACTTCTGCAGGTCTGCAAAAGATGCTTTCGATCTGCTGATAAGAAACATTTTAAAGTAAGTAATCAGGTTGAACATTGCAATCGATTTGCTGAACCTTGAGCATCACATACTTCACATGTTACTAAAGTGTTGGCAGTCATCTTAAACATGAATATCGTCTTTTAATTTGATAGATTTAAATCTTCTCTGTCACATCAATCATTTATTTTTATATCTAAGAATTGTTGCTGCCATCACTCACCAATGTCTTTACATTCACTGGTATTTATTTAGTTTTATTCCCTCTTTTTAAGAAATCCCTCACATGGACATTATCAGATTCCCCTCTCCCAGAATTGATAGTCTGAGTGAACAAAATCAGAGAACCAAAGCAGCATCCTTTGGGTTCAGGGTGTCTAGGCCATGAGTTAGATAGGGAGGCTGACACTGCCAATAGTGCCCAACAGCCCTACCATGTCATCTTCTGTTTACTTCATTAAAAACGAGTCAGGAATTCATCCCAGAACTTCAATTCTTGCATTTAACAAATGCCAAAGTTACAGCAAATACGCATCAAAATGAACTAATGAATTATTTATTCTCAAAAATTTCAAGTAACGCATGTAAACACAAAATTATGCTTTGTTTTTTTTTCCGATTCTTAGAGTTGCAGTTTTGGATAAAGTTACAGACTTTGTACTCGTCCTAGGGAAAATACTAGTTTCTGGGTGTATAGGTAAGTAATAATAATAAAAAGTTTACAAGGTGCTTAGAGAAACTACTATAAAAGCTATATTCTTTTGCAAATGCATAATATATATGTTCTGCCTTTTCATTGTAGGTGTCCTGGCATTTTTACTCTTCACACAGAGAATCTCAATAATTATAGAAGGACCAACATCTTTAAATTACTACTGGGTACCTTTGCTGGTAAGTGCTGGTGTCTTAGTCCAGGTGCTGTAACAAAATACCACCGACCCGGTAAACAACAGGAATTTATTTCTCACATACTGAAGGCAGAGAAGTCCAAGGTCAAGGCGCCCACAGGTTAGGTTCCTGATGGTGGCTCTCTTCCTGGTTTGCAAAGGGACACCTCCTTGCTATATCCTAACTTGGTGGAGAGAGATAGTATCTCTCCTGCCTCCTCTTATAAGGGCACTAATCTTATTCAAGAGGGCTCCACCCTTAGAACCTAATTACCTCTCAAATGCTCCACCTCCAAATACCATCACATTGGGGATTAGGTTTCAACATATGAATTTTGAGGAAACACAATGCATTCCATAGTAACTAAGTATTATTGACTCTGGTTTATCAGAGATAGCAAAAAAAAAAAAAAAAAAAAAGTACAAAAAGGAATATGAGAGATCATAATAGCTGACATTATTGGTTTTCCTTTGTGCCAAGCCTGCTTTAAAGGTTGGGTTCCTTGGAAACAAACTCTGAGACAGAGGCTTGCACACAAAAGGTCTATCAGGAAGTGTTCTCCTGAGATACACTTTTAAGGAAGTGAGGAGGGCAGTCCTGGCAAAGGAAGGAGCTGACCCAAGTTGCAGTGACAGCTGAGGCCTTAGGCATAATTACGGGAATTTCTGACAAAGGGACTGAGCTTCTATATGTTGCCCCTGGGTGGGGCTGTAGCCTTGGATGAGGCAGTTCTCTGCAAGGCGGGCAATTTGTACTAAAGGAAGCAGCCTACATTCCCCCAAACTGGGGGGCAGATGTGCAGCTGTAGGGGACCTGGGTGGAGTCCTCTGGCATCCATTACAATATATTAACTCACTCAGTTCGTGTGTCATAAATACTATTATTATTCACATTCTCCCCTCTCCCACCAACACTTCTATAGAGGAGGCACAGACAGGTTACGGAACGTGTTGAAGAAACACCTGAGCTGTGATCAGACCTAAGCAGTGTGTGCTCTTAACGCCTATGCTTTCCTGCCTCTGTGCACAGAGTCCTGAATATGGGATATATTTGGTAGGCACTGAGGATAGCGGTAAGAAAATTGGCAGGTGATCGAGTACATTTTGTTTAAATCCCAGTACATAGCACTCAGAAACATTATCATTGAATATTTTTTGGTCTCTATATTGAAATTTTCCTCAACACAGAGCACGTCCAAGCTCTCTCATGGTGACTTTCATTAAAGCTGCATTATTGTTCTGCTAGACGAGTTAATGACATCGTCATTCTCTCCTTTCCTCATTTACAGACAATCATTGCTGGATCTTACCTAGTTGCACACGGGTTCTTCAGCGTCTATGCAATGTGTATTGATACAATTTTCATCTGCTTCTGTAAGTTTTCAGAATATGTTTTTCCCCCCTTCAGTGGATAACCAAGGGACGAGGATAAGATCCATGCCCGTAGCTGGCTTGTAGGTTTGCTATGACCTGGCTGTAATCGCCAATCTGTTTATTTGGAAAGAGACATTGTTGAGTGGATGCTCTTGAAACCTTAATGGCCGAGAGAATGCAGTTTGCAAAGCACAGAAGAGTCAGCTACTAAAATGAACCACAGGCTTCATGGCATGGTGTTAACATATTTCCTCATGTTTTAAAATTTATAATAATGATTGGCTTCTGTGGCGCTTTATTAACAGAACTGAAGACATGACTGGGCTCTGGAAACTCTTTGAGGAGAGCCTTTATAGATTCTGATAAAGCCAAGCTGGCACTGGTTTCAAAGACACATGGGGACCAGTTCACATTAGGTAACACAGTGACAAATGGGGAAGGTTCTTAGAGGAGCATGTCCAGGAAATGGCTAGATCAATTCTGATGCTTAGAGTTAAAATACGTGCTTCTGTAGAGCTTTCCTCACTGACTTCCTGATTGTGCCTGTGTGACATGTGTAAGATGCACACACGAAATGGATATGTTTTCCATTAGTATTTCATCTTAAAAGTCCTGGAGAACCTAGAGCCCATCAGGAGCTTGATCTGGCTCTCACCTTCCATCTAGGGCAAGGAGGGTCAGCAGGTGAGAGCAGAACTCGTTAGCCCTACAGCTGGACCCTCTGAGAGATTATTTCTCTGGCACATTGCTCTTAAGAAAAGTAGAGAAAATATTCCATAACAGGGCATTACTGAGTAATCCACTCCCCTTGTGTAAAACTAAATTTGTTTTTTTGAAAATATATATTTTATTGATTTTTTACAGAGAGGAAGGGAGAGGGATAGAGAGTTAGAAACATCGATGAGAGAGAAACATCGATCAGCCGCCTCCTGCACACCTCCTACTGGGGATGTGCCCGCAACCAAGGTACATGCCCTTGACCGGAATCGAACCCGGGACCTTTCAGTCCGCAGGCCGACGCTCTATCCACTGAGCCAAACCGGTCACGGCGTAAATTTGTTTTTAATATAATCCATAAGTATCAACTTCACACTGGGATCAGGAGAGAAGATAATAACCTCATGGAGAAATAGTCAAGGCAAATTGCCTATAAAATGGCTTGACATTGTTTTTGTTTAGTTTTTCTTTCTGAACATTTAAAAATCAATTTTTAGTAACCGAACGAAGAAGTTGGGGGGACTTTGTGTACCAGTAGCTCTTGTTCTGGCTGTAAATGGAACTGGAATGTTTAACATTTTCCTCGTATCCCAGTGGTTTGTGAGGGAAAACCACCTGAACAAATCTCATGCCTGAGCTGGAATGAGAAGCGTGGGGTAAGGTAGTGCCTAAGGCAGAGTAGAGAACTCTCAAATGTTCCAAGATCTCTTCTTTCATCTCAGACACTAAACATGGGGACAGTTCTGGGGGCTCTCACTGGGATAGTCCCCGTTCTTGTAACTAAAAGTGTTTCTCAAAATATATCTCAGGAAATGTCTAGAAACTACTCTTTCCCAGTCTTTGGAAGCTTTGGCAAATCTTGTGCATTTTAATTTTTACAATGGATTTTAAATCTAAGCAATGAGAAATGTTTTCTACCCTTTTATATTAATAATTGCTAGCTTCTTGAAAACCAGGTATACTTTTAGCTCTATTCAATATGTTGTGTGTTGAACATGAATTGTTTCCTTTCAGGGACTCTCACTTTTGATAATAAAGAACAACGAAAGCAAATTGTATTTCTCTTCCCTTCCCAGCTGTTACCATGGGCAACATCTTACCTTGGCAAACATTCTTCTTACATGATACTCTAAGCCAAATTGTGACTCTGTAGAGCTGTAGCTTTTATTTTTTATAAATCTTTTTATACCTAATATCTTGACTACCAGTAAAACTGGTGTTATAAAACATGCGAACCATTTGCAAACACTTCATTTACAGAAATATGACATCCTTTTAACATTACAGGGCACTGAGAATTTTGATCCCAGGGTGGGAAAAAAGAATAGTTGTAGATGATTATTAAAATGATCCATGCCAGGCTTCCTACCAAGACCTCAAGGGTGATGATAGCAGCATATGATTTGCAATATATGGTACAGAAATATGATTGAGGAAGAACAAAAATGTTTGGTGTCTCTCATGTTCCTCCTTAGATTTTCATGTTGTGTGTGAGGAAAATCACTGTGAGGTTTAATGCGAAATCTAAACAAGCAATCCACCATTTCTAAAAGACTCTGATGGAAAAATAATTTAGATTTATTCCACAAACTATGATCATATGGTTTTGTATATTATTACTTATCCTTTATGTTATAATAAATAAAAGCTATAAATAACAAATCTTTTACAATGTATTAGTCAAAAACTAGAATCAAATTGCATTTATATATTTATTGATAGATATTATCTGCTGTGAACTGTATGTATGAAACTTAATTCTCAGCATCATTCTGGTACTTCCCCCCAACCACCCAACAGTGAACTCCCCATCTCTTTATTATAAGCCTAGGCAAAGCAGCAAGGTAAATTCATGTATTACGGAAGTTAGAAAACACTAGTATTTACTTTTAAATGTAATCTGAGACAGGCTGCAAGGATTTGGACAGGATGCCTTATAGAAATAAATGTCAGAAGGTTGGGTCCTCACCTCATCCTGATTGCCCGAGAGCTTTTTTATTTTTTAAAATATATTTTTATTGATTTCAGAGAGGAAGGGAGAGGGAGAGAGATAGAAACATCAATGAGAAAGAATCATTGATTGGCTGCCTCCTGCAGGCCCCCTACTGGGGATCAAGCCGGCAACCCAGGCATGTGCCCTGACCTGGAATGGAACCCTGACCTCCTGGTTCATAGGACAACGCTCAGCCACTGAGCCACTGTGCTGGGCGCCTGAGAGCTTTCGACTTTAGGAGGATCATTTTACATCCCTGGGTCTCAGTGTCTTCATGTGTAACATTAGGGTCTGGACTACCATTAAAAGTGGCTTGGAACTTTGAAATTCAATGACTGTTCATCATTTATCACAGGAATAATACACCTTTGATTCAGCTTTATCTCGGAGGAGGTGGCAGTTAAGCTTTCTGAAAGGAGCAGCCACAGAATTTAAAGATGATGCTCTTGAGAGGACATGACAGATTTTGTTTACCTTTAAACCATCAACATAACCTTGGGGGGGGGGGGGCGGGACTTAGGAAGTGTCAGGCTTCCTGGCAGAGGCTGGTGCTTCTTCCTTTGTGCAGCACCGCAACTGGACTGCCCTCGTTTGTCTTGCATTTGACTTTCTAACGCTGATTTCTCTGATTTCTCCCTATTCGACTCTCCAATTTATAAAAATGCGTCTAATTGTTCCGCCGCTGCTGGCTGCTTTTGCCTGCGTTGGCTGCTGCACATCCAGGTGAAGATCTGGAAAGAAATGACGGATCTACAGAAAAGCCCTACTTCATAGCCCCCACCCTGCACGGCATTCTGAACAAGAGGCACCTCGTTCCCCAGAAGCAGAAAGAGTAGAAAAGCTCCAAACAGGGCCGCTGGCTTTTAAAGTAGTTTTGTGAATTCGGTCATTTATAATGAGAAAATGATGCTGTTGCGTCATGTAGAATTTCTGTGCTGGTTTCTAAAAAGCCAGACCCTGGTACCACCTGAGGTGCCGGGCCTTCCATCACAGTAGCCTCCGTGGACCGGGATACGTTCTGGACTGACTGTGGTCCCTGCTGAAGGGCAGTGAACGGCATACTTTGTTCTTTTGAAGTCTATCGCCGAATGTGTTCTAAAGCTTTTATAACTCGGCGTGCTGTTTCTCATGGCAGCACTTTAATAGCCTTTCTTGTGATACATGTATATTTGTAAAGGATATTCAGGCAATTCTTGAAAGTGCTATAAATGTATCATGGATTAGCCATAAAAAGATTGACTTATAGTTAACCAGCATATGGGACTGAGTTTGTAAATATGGTGCTATGGTCATATTTGTACTGTTCAAGCTAGTGGACAGCTCTCTAAACTGTGATTACACTTGGATTAATGGTTCCCTAGGAAGTATATTTCAGTGGGTGATTCACGTTCATAATAAACATGTGGATGTTAATGTTCTACAGGCCCCATAGAGAGCGTTACTAGGTAAAAATGACTGTGGAACCTGCACAGCCCGCTCCGTTTTAGTGATATTGCATTTATAGTGAAGTTGAATCTGAGTTCTGGAATGTTCATTTTTAATGAACCTCTGGCCACCATGAAAGTATCCTAAACAAAACTGAAATGGCCACATAACTTGTCTTTCGTCTCAACCTAAAGTGAGACAAATTCCTATTTTCCTATTCCTACCATATAAAAAATTGGTATGGATTTGTTTCAGAAGAGTGATTATACCTTTTCGTGAGTTTACCTGTTTTCCTAGATTGAAGAGATTGGCTTTGTTCTACAAAAGGTTTGATTTTAGCCCAACTTTCAGTGAGGAAAGAGAAAAGATAAGTCACTTTGGATTTCCCCCTAAGGAAATATGCTAATAGTCCTCCAGAGAGCCCTCATCAGACACCTTAGGAAGAGGACATACTATGGGTTAGAAAAGCTGTCCCTTGAGTCCTGAGGAGGAAAGTTACTGCCATATTCCACCCCTGCTGGCCATTGCAACAGGCCAGTTTTTTGGCAGCCATGCCTGAGGCTTTTGCATGGCAGAGCAAAGCTTGAGTCAGACATTCATGCACTTTGCTTACCCATCCTGTGTGCAAGTGCATAGGATACAACTAACAGTGTAAAAATGTACCCCAGAAGGAGCATTGAATCAAATTGTATCCTTTTGGCTTTTACTAGTACACTAAGCTTGCACGGAAGGATAATAATTGATGGAAAAGAACACTTTGATCTAACATTTTTATCTGATTATGATCCATATATCCAAGAGAGTATCATTATGTTACAGACTACTATAAATACTAATTTATGTAATGATCCTAAAGTCTAAGTGGAAACCTACACTTAGACTGACTTCATGGCAGTAATAGCAAGAAGCCAATGAATAGGGAAGATATTCAAAATATTGGCCCTTGCAATGGCTTAGTTTGAGATTATTGTAGTCAAAAGTGTCACTTGGCTTCTCAGCTCGATAAGGGGCTTTCTTCACGCTCATTCTCCTTGAAGTGTAATTCAGAGAAGAGCGACAAGCTGTCTTCCTCTGTGCTTATTATTATTATTTTACTATCCAACAATACAGGGGTTATAACATCTAGTAATATAGTTCCCTCTGTCTTAAGTGTTGAAAATTATAAGGAATAAGTCCACTTCAGGAGTAGTCAAAAAGTTCATAATGATGAAACAAGACAACTTTTAATTGTTGTATGTATCAGAATCACTGATAACTTGTTATAAATATAGATGCTTGTGCCTCACCCTAAGAGATTCTGATCTATTGTGCTTGGGTGTAGGGCATCTTGTGAATTATTACAAAGTTTTCTAGTTGATTCTGATGCACGTAAAAGTTTTAAAATCACTTGAATAAAATATAAATCAATGTGTGAGAAGCTAGTTGCCTATTTTCTCCTTATATTCCTGGCTGTTCTAAGAGTTAGAATATTGAGAGGCAAAGGGGATTAATTTGGAGACTTCTAACAATGCTAGATTTTTCTATAGTTTAGATTCACAGTGCTATATGGGCCCCCTGTATTATATGTTTAACATTATATCTACTGATTAGGCCATAAAATTGTCTAGAGTAAACTTGGCACAAAATCATAAAAAAGGGAATGCCATTTGATTCAATATTTCTAAATAATTTATTTAAAGCTTAAGTTTTAGCTATATTATAGGCTTATTACTAGTTAGAAAATTATTCTCCATTAATAACTTCTTTGTGTAATTGAAACATATTAGGGTAAAAATGAGCATTGTTTTTGAGGAATAAAACTTAGAAGTCACTTTTTTTTTTTTACAAAGAAAAACTAATTGAAAAACAGCAATATTTCTCAAAATTTGCAATTTAAGGATTTGAAATATTCTAAAATTTATCAATCTTATTTCTTAAAACTATACTATCTGAATTGTTTATGGCCAAAATAAATTTTGAACAAATGTGGTCATTTAGAAATAAAATTGAGAACATAGTACTTTTTTTTAGGAATTTGAAGGTGAATTTAGGTAATCCTGGTGAATCTTTTAGGTTTTTTGTCTTTAAGTTTGCTGTCCAAAAGAAGGTAAACCTGATTCCCTCAGTCATGCAGCTGAGAGGCATCGACTATTGGCAGAACCTCACCTGGTACACAGAATGAGATAATATCTTACCGGTGTACTAACAAGGGCTGATTGTTTTCTCATAGTTATGTTTACAATAATGTTGATGCCAAACTATGCTGTTAAAATACACACACACCACAAATACATTTTTGAACTGTGGTTAAGCAAGAATGCAGCAGATGGCGCTGTTACTTCTCTTACAGTTTTGCTTTGATATTTACTCTGTGCCATTCTTCCTCCTAGTGGAAGATTTAGAAAGAAACGATGGTTCCACTGAAAAACCCTATTACATGAATCGCTCTCTGATGAAGATTATGAAGGTGAAAAGTACACAAAGTACGAAGCAGTAGAGGTGCAGACCGATCACCTGCAGCGGTGTGTACCCCTTTCCTCATCTGCTGTGTCTGATTCACAAGCCTCTGTGTTTGGAACACTGTACTCACCACCTTGTTGGCTCTTATATGCATGTTTTATACCAAAGCTTATACTGTAATATGTGAAGCCATCAGATGTCGCAAGGGAATTGTTAATAACATGGAACATTTTTATACTGAGACCTTTTGTTTTGTAATTCATTTTTAAATAGAGTGGCTTCGATGTTTTCGAAAATACTAGTGACTATGTTATAATATTCTTTTAAATATTAGATTGAAAAATGATACATGGTTTAAATTGAGAGCTCCTAATGTATATTTTTAAAATCACAACTAAAAGACTTCTGCAGGGAAAATTGGTAAACAAAGCAAAATAGAAAATTTTAAAGTTTTCCCCACTCCTGCTTGGCAGTAAATGGGTAAAAGACCGCCCAGCTCCAGATTTTGCTTGAAGTGTAGAATGTTTCCTATTAAACAAATTGCCAACCATCCAGCCTTTACTACTTCGTCCTCTCTGACAAAGTGCCTTACTGGCTGTTTAATATTACCCAGCTTTTGTGGGCAAGTTTACAAACATTGTTTTTAAAAAAACAAAACACCTGCAATGTTTAGTGATTAAAACAAGTCTTCTTGCATTTGTTTTCCTCTTAGCTCACTGGTTGGAAACCATTTGTCATTTCAGTGTGTTTAATATCCTCGCTCTACAGAGTGCATTGCAGCATAAACAGATCCCTTTGCGCCTAGTGGACATTCATGAATGTGTACACGCAAGAAAAAAATCTGAAATCTGAAAGGACACTTGTTGTGTTTCTTTTTTTACTAAAAGTGAGAAGTTTTAAAATGTGATCTTTTCTATAGTAGATCTTTGAAAATACAATAGGTATAACAATACATTTCTCAGTGTTTTACACAGACTAAAAAGGGAAACTTTGAGAAATTATAAAGGAAAACTTTACCCCAAGAAAGGGTGCTACTAGATGTCATGTATTGAATAGTTCCTTTATAAATGATTGTTTATTATCGTCAAGGAGTGTTCTATGTATGTTATTTTATTTTTAAACTTTTGATATGAAATAATCAGTTTACTTGTAAGATATTCATTTTTATTGTGCTAATGTAAATAGGAGCATACTTTCTAATTCAATTTTAAATGACTTTCCTAGTACTCTTAACTTGAAACAAAATGAATGCTGTTTGTTATAGAGAGTCCATAAAGCATTCACTGTAAAGCAATGTCAGTCTCACATGATAATTTGTGAAAGTTTTGAGAATCAACAGTAAGTTACTATCAGTTTATCTATGATCACAGGTGTTTAAATGTGACTTTAGATAATCTTTTATGCCAAAAACAAACTCACATGAGCATGTGACAGTCTGAGCTCTTTAATCAATGGGTTTCTGCTATGCAGAAATATTAGGTCCATGTTGTCTAAATACCTTTGATAAGGAAAATATTTAATATTTAATGAAATTTGTTGTTACTCATGGTTTGAAATCTATTTGTTTTTTTTCTTCTAATAAAGATTTAGATAAAAAACTGGCTGCCTTCTTATTTCTTTAAGCTAGAAAAGGAAATGTCGGGTTTTTTTAACATCTAGATTTATTATTTTTAAAAACTCCATTTTTCTCTAGCTGTGCATTGATTGACAAATCAAATAACTGAAAAATGATAATTTATACAAAATAAATAAATAAAAGCTAAATGGATAAGAGATGGATTGTTTTAATCCAATGGCCGAAATTAGTTAGTTGGTCTTTGTTTTAATTTGCCACAGGTTTACTCAGGCCCTCATTTGGTTTTTCCAATATTCATAAGAAGTAAATCTCATAATTTTAAAGACAGGGGTCAATTTCAACAACCTAAAAAATGTTAACATTAATTAATGATAGTTTTCCAAGGTAAGATTAAATGTCCCAATCGCTGGTTAATCTTAACATTTTTCTTAGGTCCAGATATACCTTAATAAATGTATCCGACCAGTCGCTATGACGCACACTCACCACCAGGGGGCAGACGCTCCGACCAGTAGGTTAATATATAAATTGAATTATATATTAAATCTTCAAAGTAATTTTTCTTTAAAATGTAATAGGTTTCTTTAAATAAAACCATAAAACAATGTTCATGCTATTTCCAGTGTTCTTTTTTAATGTCCTAACTTTAATAAGATGGTAGCTAATATAGCTAATGATTCCTTTCTACTTAAAATAAAAAAATAGTTTGGTATCCAGAAGAAATTCAAATTCTGCTTTAGATCTTAATAACTCTTAGTTTTAGATCATAAAGCCACTGACTATACTTGTAAATAAATTGCTTGAAATTGGACTCTGATTTGATTTTTCTGTGTGCCCAGAAAGCTTAAAAAGAGTTTGTGAATCCACACAGTGGAATCACACTATGCAAGGTTCTGTAGGACCATCAGGCATAATCTGTTTAAACTCATATTGGAAAACAGGCCCTGCGCAACAATTCCTTATTTTCCTTTTACTACAAAACTGACCAGCACTCATTCCAATGTATGTTCTTTCACTTTTACAAGTGGTGCCTCAGGAAATTGCTCTTGAACTCTAACCAGGCATAGTAATTATCTTCAGTATTATCTGGTTCTGGACTGGGGAACATGCTTTATGAATCAGTCTTTGCTGGCATAAGATATGGGACAAAATTGAACTAAAATCATTATTGCAGACCATGGTATATGGAATGGTATCCTGACATTTTTTTCCAGTTTCTTGCAAGTTATCCTGTGATGTTTGCAAAATTTTTAAAAAATACAGCTCTGTGATTATAAGAATTCAATTTAATAAAAAGAAATATCTGACCAACATAGCAGGAATAAATTACTTTTCCAAAGATACTTTCCATGTACCATGTGTTTAGTCTTGGGGCTTAAGTGAGTATTGAAGATCTCTCTCAGGACCTAGCTGAGTTCCTTCTGGTCCTCACCCAGAAAACAAAGCCAACACCCATGAAAAACAATGTGAAACCACCCTATATGATAAAAGCGTAACATGATAAGTATCCGACCAGTCAACCTTAAGTCCACTGCTCGACCAGTCGCTATGATGCACACTCACCACCAGGGGACAGACGCTCCGACCAGTAGGTTAGCTTGCTGCTGGGGTCTGGCTGATAGGGACTGGGCAAGAGGGCCAGACATGCCCTGGAGCCCCTCTGAGGTCCCTCCCTGGCCAGCCAGCCCTGATAGGCCCCAATCAGGGACTGCAGGCCAACCTCCCACAGTCCCTCCCCAGCCAGCCTGCCCCCATTGGCCCAGATCAGGACTGGGTGAGACGCACCCTATCGGCCAGGCAGAGGGACCCCATAGGTGCATGAATTTGTGCACCGGGCCTCAGGTTCATTTATGAGAACTCAGTGCCACCTTATGCAAGGCTTGGACATAGGGATAATGTCACAGTCATGAACCTTAAAATTTATCAGGACATATTGAACCTCCCTCTTCACCATTTACAACTTTCCAATTGCTTGGAATGAAACAATATGGAATCTGGCTATATTTTCTCTAATGGTTTCTGTGCTGCTAAGTATGGGGACAATGTGACACATTTCAAAGCAACCAATTCAAGTTTACTATTTGAAGTCACTAGCTTTTTTTTTTTTTTTTTTTTTAAATGCTTTGGCTCTTTTTTCCAGTTCTTTATACATATACTGTAGGATTGAGAATAGCTTAAGTAAGTGGAAAAAACTATCTTCTGCCCTTCTACTGCTGGCCCCAAAACATGGGCATCTTCATATTCTGGGCTTTTGCTGTTAAAAAGCAGTGTGTTAATAAGGGTGGGAGAAACTTATCAAACAAAAATATGTTTCCACTTTGCATATCAATTAAAGTGAGTCTGGACTTGATTCATTGGGAGATTAACCTTGAAATCTCCACATTCTTCCAGCCAGATGGATGTATGTTGCTACATGTGTGTCTGCAGGACACAGAAAGGAGAAAATGAAGGTAAAATATTGGGAAAGCAGTGGAATCCAAGAACAGAACAGAAAAAAAGCTAAGAGTATATTTTTTAAAATCTTTAGTGGGATCCAAGAGGTCAACATTACAGAAATTAGGGTGCCTTCTGAAAGCACTTCATAAATCTATAGAAAAAGAAACTCAAGAGCAGATGAGAAGCCAGTAATTAAACAAAAATATTTTTTCCTTTTTTTGGTAAACAGCATTGAAGCAGACTATGTTACAATAAATTAATCACATAGATGTATTTAGCCCAAACAAACGAAAAAGAATGGTGCCCTAACATGATTTATGAATAAGGAATTTAAAAACATCTGCCTTTTTTTCTCATTCCTTTTGCATGAAAGCCAAAACTTTGCTGTCATGATGAGCTGGTGTATTTCTCTCTTTTTCCTCTCAACTGTAAGACAGATTGGACTCCCTTTCAGACTCTCTCACTTCCTTTACTCCAATTCAGTCTCTTCCTTTATCTCATTTTCCCTTGCCTATAAGAAACTGACGCTCTAATAAGATCTTTGTTTTTATTTTATTTTTATTGGATTTATTGGGGTGACATTGGTTAATAAAATTATATAAATTTCAGGTGTACAGTGCTCTAATATATCATCTGTACATTGTATTGCGTGTTCACTACCGCAAGTCCCCTTCCATCACCATTTATTCCTCCTTTACACTCTTCTACCTCCTCCAATCCCCCCCCCTGTCCCCCCTCCCCCCCCACCCCCCTGTCCCCCCTCCCCCCCCACCCCACCCCCGTCCCCTCTGGTAATCACCATACTGTTGTCTATAGCTATGAGTTTGGGGATTTTTTGTTTAATCCCTTCACCTTTTCGCCCAGCCCCCCAATCCTCTTCCCCTCTGACAGCTATCAGTCTGTTCCCTGTATCTATGAGTCTGTTTTTATTTTGTTTGTTAGTTTATTTTATTCATTAAATTCCACATATAAGTGAAATCATATGGTACTGGTTTTTCTTCACTTAGCATAATACTCTCCAGGTCCAGCCATGCTGTCCCAAAGGGTAAGATTTCCTTCTCTTTTTTTTTTTTTTTTTTTACGACCGAGTAGTAGTCCATTGTGTAAACATACCACTACATTTTATACACTCATCTACTAATGGCACTTGGGCTGCCTCCAACTCTTGGCTACTGTAAATAGCGCTGCAATGAACATAAGGGTTCTGATTTCTGGATATTTATTTTGTATCCTGATACTTTCCTAAACTCATGTATTAATTCTAGTATTTTTTTAGTGGAATCTTTAGGGATCTCTATATACAGTATTAATCTCACCTGCTCTGTGAAGGTCTTTGGAAGGAAATGGAAACGGTAATGAAACAGGAAGAATGAAAATGACTTCAACTAGCAGCCTGGGTTGTGCTATCAAGTGGCAGTTTCAGGTATGAGTTCTGAGCAACACTAGGGAATTAGAAAAGGTAAATGACAGAGCCCAGCAGTAAAGACTAGCTGCTATTGAGGTGGGCTTTAGAACCAGAACAATAAGCTTCGGTTCCAAATCACCCTGTTACTATGTGACTGTGGGGAAGGTATTTAATTGCTCAAAGGCTCTCTTAGCTGAAAATGGCAGCTAACCCGCTCCTTACAGGTGAACTTAAAAAAATTCTTTTACTATATGCTCCTTGCACAACTGTCCTTGTTGTTTTGCCTACGTTAATTTTGGGCATGTTAATTGCTCTGGAACTGGTTTTCCCAAGTGCGGGCCATTATAAATAGTCACTCTCAAATGGGACTTAACGGGACTTGAAAGCAGAAAGTAAACCACAGGCAGGGAGCAGCCTGGACGGGCCTCCATTGCCTCGGCGTCCTGCGCCTGCGGTGTGTGGGCTGCCTGAGTGGAGACGTGCAAAGGCGTGTGTGTGAGGATGGTGGATGTTGTGTGTCCAGCACGCAGGAGAGTACACGAGTGACTCCCATCTATTGCTACTATCCCAGGAACACTAAGTACAGCCATTTCTCTCTTTATAAGAAGCTTAGCCAGACAACAAAATTCCCTTCACATTAAAAACAGAAATAAGAGCTGATCTCAAATGTTCTGTTGTATATTCCCAAACCACTGGCACACCCTCACTCGGTGTATAGCATGGTGATTTGGAGGGAAGAGCTGTACGAAGGCCATCTTCAAAGGAAGATTCACAGCTAAGGCCGTGCAAGCTATTTGGCTGTCACTTGTTCCCCAGCCAGTTCTTAGCTGAATGCACGCTGAAGTGTGCCATGTGTATGTCATTCAAGCTCCAGAGAATTGCAATTCCTGCCAGTACCACCCAGTCAGCCCCCAAAGAAGCAGCTGCCTGACCCAAGCTGTGCTTCTATCCGTGCAGAGCTGCTCCAAGAATTTTTCCCACCTGGGACTGACCACTTGATGATCAGCTGCCTAAGAGGTGTCCTAGCCCACAAACCCCAGAGTACTGGCAATGATACAGGGCCCAAAAGCAAATGCATGTGAACAGAGCCTGCCATCAGACCTCTCAGATTTGAAAAAAAT